GTCTCTAAACTGGAGGGTCTCTAAACTGGAGGGTTTCTAAACTGGAAGGGTCTCTAAACTGGAGGGTCTCTAAAATTACGAGTTCGATCCCATAAACAAAAAAAAGCCCATGTCTATATTTCTTTGTCTTTCCTTTGTCCGAATTTAATGAATTTAAGCCACGTCTTAAATTAAGTGGAACCAACCATATTTGAGCGGCGACTTAAATTTAAACCGCGGCGTAAATTCTTTAAATTCGGCCTCTTGATGTTTAAATAAAAGATTCCTAGTGGAAAATGTGACAAGACTAACATTTTAAAGTTTTAAATTATGTGTTCACTTTTCTTGGAAAATATTCTCAAATTTTATAGTTGGCCAGGTAAATAATAAATTATTAGTCTCAACATAATCCAAAATATTATAAAACCCGCCAAAAATTATATTTTGAACAAAATCCAGTTTTTTCTTTCTATAAAGCAGAACAGATTTGTTTGTTTCAATATACTTTGTTACTAACAATACGTGGTTTTAATTTCTTTTGTTTTCTCCTAACACCATGAGGTTCAAAAATAGCAACAAAAAAATTTGTGAAAAAAGTTTCTTTTAGTATTTAAATGAATTCTCATTTCTGCATATTACTGAGATGCATGGCTCTGAACAAATCCTAAAAAGATGTCAGCTAACAAATTTTGTCGGAGCTCAGTGGCTCACGCAGAATCACGGGAGTCACGATACCAGAGTTAATGATTTTCGGAGAAAAAAAAATCTATGATAAGCATGATTTTAATAAAAACATGCGTAAACCGAGGCAAAAAAATTAAAAAAATCTACATTGGTGTGCAAATTTTAAAATCAGGGAAGTTCTGAGAATCATTGAGTCCGTGCGATAATATTTTCAAACTGCGGAATCAAATAAAACAATTTTGTTTATAAAAACAATTTTAAAATATGTTGTCAGTTTTATCTGTTGACAGTACGGTAACTATAAAAGTCGGTCCAGGCCTAAATCTCTTGTCAAAGTCCAGCCAATCAGAGCTCGACATTCGTCTTACATGTGCGGGTTCGGAAAGCTCTGCCTACTTGAAACTAAATGGATATTTATAAATGATGATTGGGTGTCAGACCCAGGAAACATCTTGTCTTAGAAAATATATTTTTAAACATCTGAAATGTATATTTAAACTGAAAAAAGTTGAGAATACTATATATATATATCAGTTAATGCAACGTGGGAGCACCAAGCCAAAATTAATGTTTTATTAGAACTTTTTTTTGAGTAATGTCAAGCAAAATTTGATGAATGATTTTACAAAAAGAAATTCTTAAATTTCTTGAACTGATTTCTGATCAATAAAGAAATATTTTAGAGGTTAAAATTTGTTAAATTGATTTCTGATCAGTTAAAAAATATGAAAGATTTAAATTTAACAATTATTTTAGGCAACCAGATTTAGGGTTGAAAATCAAGATCAAATAGGAAAATATTCACAAATTTATTTTATGATTTTATGATTTTTCTGCACTGTGCAATATTCAGGATTTCTAAAAACAATTGATTTCCAGCACAGCAAATTGATTTTTATTTACAGCAAATTGATTTATATTTACAGCTAATTGATTTATATTTACTGCTAATCGATTTTTAGTTACATGCAGCAGCCAATTTATTTTTACATTTGGCAAATCGAATTGTTACTACTACAAATTGATTTCCATGTTTTGCTGATCGATTTTTACGTGCATTCAATTAATTGCAGGCAATTGATTTCTCATTGATTGTTTACTTATAATTAAACAATTTCTTAATTTGGATTTTAATGATTTTTGTGAAATATTGAAGGGGACGAATAGGTAGTAGGTAGTAGGTAGTAGGTAGTAGGTAGTAGGTAGTAGGTAGTAGATAGTAGATAGTAGGTAGTATAAGGTAGTAGGTAGTAGGTAGTAGGTAGTAGGTAGTGGGTAGTAGGTAGTAGGTAGTAGGTTGAAGCTACTTTTTTGTTTATATTACAGACGAGATAACGGTAGTACGATTGGGTGTGGTGCAATTATATTGCAACAATCTATATCAACAGCAACAGCAGCCCTGAGTCTTGTATGTAAGTAATATCATAAGCTACGAATAATAAAAGAAATTAAGTATTTGCCACAAACTATGATTTTGTTTTCCTTTTACTTTTGCATGTTGTAGACCTGAAATATTTCATAATATCAAAGGTTAACACCATCAGGATGCAAATTGATACATGGATTTGAAAATATGAGTTTGTGGCAAAGACTCAATTTTGTTTCTCCTAAGTTTGTCTTTTGCTATGTGTTTGTTTATCAGGGGTTTGCCATTCACGAGTTCGTTTTTCAGAAGATCGTCTTTAGGGGGTTGTCTTTCAGGGTTTATTTGGAGTTTGTCTTTCAGGTTTTTGTTTGTTTGTATTTTAAAGTTTGTCTTTAAGGGGTTTGTCTTTTATGAGTTTGTCTTTCAAGAGTTTGTCTTTCAGGAGTTTGTCTTTCAGGAGTTTGTCTTTCTGGAGTTTGTCTTTCAGGAGTTTGTCTTTCATGAGTTTGTCTTTTAGAGGTTTGTCTCTCTCTTTTGTGACTTTGTACAAGATTAGTCTTTCAGTGGTTTGTATTTCAGGAGATTTTTATCTGGAAGTTTTTCTTCCAGGAATTATTCTTTTCGGAATATCACGCTAGTCTTATCTTTCCAGAATTCGACTCCGGAATCTGTCTATCTGGAGTTTTTTTTTTTTGCAAATTCTCATTTCAAAATGTGATTCTTCGAAATTATTCTCACTAGAGTTTGTATTTTTTTTTGGATTTTGTTGTTTTTGCCGCAACTATCTGCAATTTGTCTCTTCGGGTTTTTGATTCAGAAAGTTTTTGCCGGAATTTTTTACAGTGATTTTGCTTTTTGGAATTTTCCTTTCCAAATTTTCTTGCTACCTAATATTAAAAAACTTATGATCAAAATGAAAATTGATTTTTACTTTTCAAACTTGTGTTGGTTAACTGTTTTTAATCAAATAATACAACATTTTTCAATCTAATATTTATAAAAGGAGAAAAAATGAAGAAAAAAGTCCCAATTTAAAGAAATACCAAAAAGTGATTGTATAACTAAGGATTGGTTACTTCGTGTAAGACATATTTTTCAAGATAAATTAAACGTTAAAAAATATTTTTGATATAGTTTCAATAAAAAAAGTTTTAACTCCCAAACTTGTATAGGTGTTTTCTACAGATTTAACGACAGCGAAATTTCAAAATAAAAAGTTATTTTCATCTTTATTTAAAATTCGCAGTTTTGTGCCAGACAAATAACCACCAATACAATATTCAGAACTCAATATTAAAAATGATAAAAATATTTGTTTATGTCTAAATTTCCATCTGTTTTATTGCTTTCAATATTGTATTCATTGTCTTTATGAAAAAAACCTGAAGTTAAATTCCTGAATTCAACTAATTGAAAAAAATAAACCTGTCTGACAGTTTTTTTTGTGTTGAAGAGATAGAAACTAGAAACCAAGATAAAAGAATTCTAAAAATGTTATTTTTACGCCAGTGCCTCCGCTGGGAGTTAAAATAGTGCCGCATATTGGACATCTTGTGGAAGGAAGGTGAGTAAATACAACTTTAGTCTATAAAATAATTTATTTTGCGCAAATTGCAACAAATTATACATTTTTGAAAAGCCCTTGACCCAGCAAATTCAATTGTGCAAAAACGTTTGAAAAATTTTTAAAACCTAAATGTGTTTTCAAGGAAAACTGAAAATTTTCAAATTCCTTGTAAAGGCGTCTGTGAAAAAAATCTGTGCAAAATTTCTTTGCAAAACTTGTGCAATCAGGTTGCTTTTATTATAGGCTTTCCAAAGAGCTATAAAATCTTGAAATCCAATAATTGGAAGTAGGTCTAAATATAGATTAAGTCTGATATAGGTAAAAAAAAGGCATTCAGGCAGTATGCCTTATGACTAAGGCAGTATGCCTGAGGACAAAGGCCCAATTCCTGTGTGAATAAGCGCGAAATATTTAACAATAACAAAGCATGTTGACTCAATCGGTTCGGTCGTTACAGCATTATTTTGACTCAACCCTACTCAGACAAAATATAAAACAGTTTTTTTTAGAAAATACGAGTTTGAATGTGAGAGTAGAGGGTCCAGTCCTGGTACATATTATACCTGGTCGATTGTTCTCAAAAAACAAGAAAAACGAATTCTTTTACAGGTTATTATTCACCCTTTCCTGGCTTGTAAGCGTAACTTTATGTGACCCTCAATGCAAAGATGACAATGTCTGATTCACTTAATAACCTAGAAACCTTTGTCTGATCAAGTATGAATTAGATATTTATGTTTACAATTTTGAAAACTGATTATTTTTACTTGTGTGGTTTCTCTACAAAGGTGACCTGCATATTTTTAATGCAGTAAAACGTATAGAATTATCATTTAAAACACATAACCACAATATCTGTTATATTATTGATTTTAAAGAAACTTGACTGAACCCGTTCACGTTAGCCGAGTTCCGACACCGGGTTTATGACGATACCATGTCTTTAACTTATGACTCTGAAATTTTATCATTTGTGGGTAACCCTGTATAAACATTTCTGCGTAATCTAAAAATGTTATTTAATGTTTACAGTCTTGATTATAGAAGCAATGAGGAAGAATTTAGTAAACTTTTACTATTTATTCTCGGACTTGGAAATTCTAAGTGTTAAAAACTTTCTAAAACTTTTGTTTCCTTTTTACCCTCAGTTTGTCCAATACTTCATATAATCTTTTATTTCTGTATTATCTCTGTTTTCTTCTTAAGCCTTTTTTGTAGTTTCTAGTCTTTGTCTAGATTCCTTTTATTCTATATTGGCCCCATCTTTTTCTTTTTTTTATGATTATTCAATTTATGATGTTTACATTTTTCTATTATACTCTCATTTGTTAATAATTTTCTGCTCTCTCGTTTTATTTCTCTTTCTATCGACCCCCACCCCCCTCCCCTCCCCCTGCTTCTGATTAAATCTTCTGCCCTCAGAAACATTCGAAAATGACACTGATTGATGAGTAAAAGATCGATTTTTTTCCCTCCATTAGTCTTTGGTCAATTTTCTAACTTTTTCCAAACAAATTTATGATATTAAAAAAATGTTTTGTTTTGTTTATTGATTTAACCGCTCAGTAAATGTAATCCTTTAAAGGGAGTATTCGCGAAAAATGAAAGGGGGTATAGGCTTACGGCGAAAAATAATCGCTTTTGATCGCGCAGCTAATCTTACTTCTATCTTTTGCGTCTATAAAGAGAAAATTGTTAAAAACGACTTATTCTGAAGAATGTAGTCATAGATTATTTTTCGACGCATTTGTATGTAATTAATATTTCATAACATTTTTTATTCGATTTGAATGATTACCCGTGGCAGAGACACCTAGCGGAAAAAACTCCTTTTAAGTGGATTATATATAAAACAAATAACAAATATTATGAAATATTAACTATATACGAATGCATCGAAAAATAATCAATAACCTTAGGTTGTAATATCTGAATGATTTGTTTGAAATTAAATAGATTATTTTACGATACGAGTCGTAAATTGCAACTTTCTGAATTTGTATGGTCGCTGCGTTCAATTTGGTAAAAGTCGTTTTTAACAATTTTCTCCTTATAGACGCGATAGATAGAAGTATGATTACTGATTAGTAGAGATCAAAAGCGATTTTTCGCCGATAGCCTATACCCCCTTTCATTTTTCGGGAGCACTCCCTTTAACAAACAATAGAAATGTTTTTTATATTTGATAATAACTCATCATCTTCATGGTATCCCCGCCCCCCCCCCTGAACAAAACGGCCTGTTTGCTTCTCTCGAAAAATTGCAAACATGATGATACATCCTTTCACAATTTAAACACGCACTCTCTTGAATCCAATGAGAGAGAGGATTATTGTAACTCGATTTAAACTTTTCTGGGTTCGGTAATCCTACAGATCAGTGCGTGCAGTAATATTTTTTTTTAATCCAGGGCAGGCTTATGAAAAATGTACAAAACCCTATCTATCTCAACTTATGAAATCTCTATATCTTAGCAAAAATTATAGCGCCATCATTTTTTTATATTGACATGCGGATTTTAAAGAAACCGACGATAAAGGACTAAAAAGAAATGCAGAATTAAGCATTTATAAGGGTGAGCCGTATCATTAAAATATTGCAAGCGAAGTGCCGACATTTTTTACAATTTTTTTTTCAGTGCGGAATGTTTCTGCTTTCGCTCCCGCCGCCTTTGGCATAGGGTACCCTTGTTAATCAGACGTGTAGCGCTTTAGATTTAGGGAACTAAAGTTACGTCTGTAGTCTCTTTAACCAATGTATTTATCAGAGTGGAGAGTCTACGTCTGTAGTCTCTTTAACCAATGTATTTATCAGAGTGGAGAGTCTGGAAGGTTGAATCTAACCATGGAGAAGGAGTTGCATGGATCTAGCTTGGTTTGTGGAACATTTAATCCTCTTCTACCACACCTAGTCTTAGAGGATTCAATTACTCTTCAAGCACTTTGTGAGTAATATTTGGGATTTTATTACTCTTCAAACACTTTGTGAGTAATAGCTGGGATTTAATTACTCTTCAAGCACTTTGTGAGTAATAATTGGGATTATGTTCATTAGCATTTTTAACACTAAGTCAATCAAGCCAAAACATGTTTTTTTTCTGAGTAAGGGAGTGAGGGAATAAGGGTATACTGAATTAAGGAATTAAGGGAGTAAGGGAGTAAGTGAGTAAAAGGTTATGGGAGTAAGGTAGTAAGGGAGTAAGGGAGTAGGAGAGTGAGGGAGTAAGGGAGGAGAGAGTAAGAGAGTGAGAGAGTAAGGGAGCAAGGGAGTATGAGAGTATGGGAGTAAGGGAGGAAGGGAGTAAGGGAGTAAATTAAATGTATTCAATTTATTCTCAAAATTTCTAAGTTCTATATCTTTACAACCTAATTTATGGTGTAAATCTTTAACTTTTTTGTTTAGTAAAATTTTTGGCTTGAAACATTAGAGGTTGAAAAGATTAAAGAGAGAAAATCTGTATTTTTGGCAAGTAAACAGTTCCTTCTTCAATAATAATTAAACTATTTTGTTTAGATGCTCCTAATGTAACGTTAGTATATGGATCAGGGATAGATTATGCTAACATCAGGTCAGTTCAAATTAAAGACAATGATCATTAAAATTTTTTTTTATATAAACCAGCTCTTTAATCAATAGTTTTTTTTATAAAAACCAGCCCTTTAATCAATAGTTTTTTATAAAAACCAGCCCTTTAATCAATAGTTTTTTTATAAAAACCAGCTCTTTAATCAATAGTTTTTTTTATAAAAACCAGCTCTTTAATCAATAGTTTTTATAAAAACCAGCTCTTTAATCAATAGTTTTTTATAAAAACCAGCCCTTTAATCAACAGTTTTTTTAATAAAAACCAGCCCTTTAATCAATAGTTTTATTGGTGAATGGTTCTGCAGAGGTTTATTTTTAATTTAAAATTATGAACTTTGTTTTCATCGAAATTTAAAAGGTTAGCGGCACATTCAGATTCTCTAATCTTTGCAACCCAATGTCGTAGAACTGTGATTTTTTAAATTATGAATTCTGTTAGATCAAATAATCTTAGCTTGAAATGTGAAACCTTTACACCATCAGGTGGCAAAGATATAAGGGTTAGACAGGTTAGGTTTATAGCAAAAACTCATCATCAAAATCATTTCTAATTTTTGATTGTTTGCTTTTACAATTTCAATAAGAATCCTTTTTTTTTGTCAGTAAAATACAAATATTACTTTTCAGTTAATTCCATTAAATCTGTTTTCGTGGTTTAGATACATAAAATGGCAGACATTTTTATTGGATGAATTATGAATTACAGAAGCTTCATAGTGTTCCTGAACATTTAATAAAAACTAAAACTGAAAAAAAATTTATGTTGCCTGCAGCTATGTATAATTTATATAAAGTTCTGAACAAGTTTTATAAAATATTTTTTCATTTCTTTTCTTTTTCTTGGTGTTCTATAGGATCTAGAGATTTCTCTTGGATTCAACCTTTTCAAAATTTAATTAAATATTTAAACCCTGAAGGTCCTTTTAGCTTTTAGTTTCTTTAAATTAATTAATAAATAAAATTCTAAACCTGGTTAGATTTATACACAACAATAAATAAAATTTCTTCCATTTGCATAAACAAAAGTATATTAAAACTAAACTTTTTGGGGGCTTCGCGCCCCCTTTTCTGCAAATAATCTTTACTTTAACCATTACTTTCTTTTTGAATTGTTCGAAATTGGACGGTCGGTTTGGACGTTTATTGGATACAAACAGATAGGCAAACTATTTACTAGGCATTCAGGGCGCTTCGCGCCCATCTTCTATATCAATTGTGAACAATTTCTCTTTGTATATCTACATTGTAAAACAATAACAAAACAAAGTTTGCGGATTTTATAAAAACAAAATTGTGAATTCTAAATATTAAAATCAAATTTTTTGAAATTTTGATCATCCATTAACCTTCCCTGTGTTTATGGGAACTCCAAAATAAATTTTGTCCCGATCGGTTCAGCTGTTTTGACGTTTATTGGATACAAACGTATTACATTCAAGACTTGTCATTGAAAACTCTATATTTCTATCCTTATATCTATCTATCTATCTATCTATCTATCCTTCTATCTATATATCTATCCTTCTATCACTCTTTCTATGTATCTCTCTATCTATCTTTTTGTTTATATTTAGACTTTAGCTTGATTCTATATTATGGTCAATGAATTTAAAAACATAGCAATTGTGCAATGAATTAAAAAGCTCCATATCATTTAATGGGCTAATTTTCAATCTACTGGTAAAAGAATTTGCTCTAGTATTGCTCAATGTTCACCTTCATATTCCACAGTTTATTAGTTAACACTTAAAAAAAATTAATTTGTAATTCTTATTTGATCTCACATCCAGCTAAAATATCTATTTGTGTACGTTATTGCTGAACACTTTTAGATGAATTACATTGAACCTGAGAGCTGTAGCCTCCAAGGATGCAACCCAAGCTTATTGATTACAAATAAAAAAACGATAAAAAATATTCATAAAATAATGTGTATATTAAGTGTATGATAACCCTGTATATGTGTAGGGAGGGGGAGGATGTGTATATGGAGTGTATAGATGATAACCCTGTATATGTGTAGGGAGGGGGAGGATGTGTATATGGAGTGTATGATAACCCTGTATATGTGTAGGGAGGGGGAGGATGTGTATATGGAGTGTATAGATGATAGCCGACCAACTTCTCACACACTTCGATTCTTCAAAAATGTAAGCTTTAATCACTAATATATTTTGTAAAAAGTAAGTTTTTAGATGTTTAAAAATATGGGTTTCTTTTGCAAAAACTTTTTATCCGATTTTAGGAAAATGTTAAGAATTTTTTTTTTTTAATTGTTTTTAAAAATAGTAAAAAAAATGTTTAACTACATGTTTATTATCAAAAAAAAATGCACAACTATTGTTAGACAAAATACATGAGGTAAGTTTAAGCGCAATGATGCTCAAAATGTGTAATCTTCTTGATCCATAACAACAACTAGAGACGCTGGAAAGTATTTTTTGTTGTGGCATGCAAAAAGATAAATTTTTAATGTGTACAAATAAAGCTGATGATTATGCAAGTTTTTGGCTAATATTACGCATATTTTGAATGGAAACCCTGTTTAATAATGTGTCGATTTTTAGAAGAAAAAAAATTGTTTTTATTCTTCTTCTGAAATACTGAAAAAGAACAAGTTTTTTTATTTTTCCGATAATTGAACCGACTTACAATTATATTATAAACAATGAAACAAAGTTTTGCAGTTTAGATTAAGAGGAATCATCCAATATATTTTTTGCGTGACGCGGCTGGATTTTTGAAAATCACACTTTAAAGGCTCTAAATATATCATTTAAAAAAGTAGTTTTGCTCGGAAGAGTCAAATGTGGTGGTACAGTAGAGGAAATAGTGATGGCTCATGGCTGCGGGAAGAGAAAAAAGCTAATATGCGGCCCGGAAGGGGAAATAGTGGTGGCTCATGGCCGCCTGCCTTCTCCCGCTCCTCTAGCTGGTTAGATGATGTCGGCCCGGTTCTTAAAATGAACCGGACTTAACAATTATTATTATTAACAATGATGTGACATAGTTATCATTAGTTTTTTTTTAACATTTAAGTCTTATTGACCTGCAAGAGGCTCAAAAAGAATTGTAGATGCATTCTGTAAAACCTTAACATAACGTCAACATTCCATTTAAAGGGTTTGTAAATGTAAATGTAAATGTCTTAAAAGCTTTATCTGATCAAGCATCCATGGTTATAGTTTTTAAAAAATGATTATTTTCAGTTATGGTTTCTTGACAAATGTGACTTGAAAATCTACTTCAAAAAGTTGAAAAATATAAAATGTTGAAATGTTTGATGATGTTGATGATGATGATGATGATGATAATGATGATGATTATGATGATGATTATGATGTGTCCAGGGTCTGGAGATATCTGAGTCTAGGATTGCTGGAAGGATTATCAGTGATAATATTCTAGTTCTGCAGAATATTACTAAAGCAGATTCAGGTAAAACCAAGGTTGTACAATAAGGTTGCTTACTCTAGATACACTCCAATGTACGGGGAAAGTTGTCTCCCATCGTCGTCTTTCTATACTAAGGAGACAACATTTTCCGTACATTGGAGCGCATCTAGGGTAAGCAATCTTATTATACAACCTTGAGTAAAATACTAAATACAAACTCGTAAAGGGACGATTCACGGGATTTCCCATGGCTCTCTTTTTAAAGATAAAACCTGGTTTGCAAAGTTGCATCAGTTTTAGATGATGATGATGATGATGATGATGATGATGATGATGATGATGATGATGATGATGTGGTGTCCAGGGTCTGGAGATATCTGAGTCTAGGATTGCTGGAAGGATTATCAGTGATAATATTCTAGTTCTGCAGAATATAACTAAGGGAGATTCAGGTAAAACTAAGAAAAATTAGATACTCTCTCACAAAATCAGTGACCAAATCTTTAAAAGTTTTCAAATTGGTAAAAATAAATTCTTTATTTGTCAAACTTTTGCATTGTTTATGAGGCGTTATTTTGTTTATTAGAGTTTAATTAAAATTGTATTCCATTTAGTAAAATGCAATACTAAAACAAACATCAAAAAAACTTTAACGAATTCAGAGGGCAGAGTTAATGAATAGCAAGGCGTAGTTAAATCATTTCAAATTTAACCACCACATATAAGAAGTGGTTTACCTACTCCTTATTATTCATTAATATTAGTCCAAGTGGGGCTACTTTTTTAATATCAACATTAATATCAAATATGGCTTTTGACCTTGACTGTGAACTTTTATTTGTCAGATTAATGGCATAAAAGGAATTTTTTTACGAAGTTTTGAAAGTTTTTTATGTTTATCAATTTATATCGGTGTAGTTTAGAATCCTATGTATAATGCAGTTTTTAGTTAATTAGATATTGAAAATACTGTAGAAATATTGGATATTTTTAAAGGACAGTATAGCTGTAGTGCTGACAATGAAGTTGGATCACAAACGTCCAGTGTTCTATGGTTAACTGTAAAATGTAAGTATTTGATTTATTTTCTCTATACTATAATTAAAGCTCTTCTTTTACAATTATAAACTTATATATATGTATGTATATATAAATGTTAGCTATAGCTGGCCAAACGGCTGGACCAAATTGGCTGAAATCTTTTGAGGGAAGCTTCCCGGGGGTAACATAGAATAGAAATTAAATTTTTTTTTTGAATTTCCACGGGCAAACCCGGGAAGTTCATCAAAAATCATGATGCTATACCAAGCGCGGGTAAACAGCAAGAGTAAATATGAATAATATTATAAACATTTGCAACGCCGGGTTCTCCAGCTTGTATTACAATATTTGCGTAAAACTGTAAACACCATCGTTTGATTTTGCAGAATTCATAATTTGACATGTTAAATGATTTAAAAAGATTGTAAAATTAGGTTTTTTCTTCGAATAATCACTTCCTAATTTTCCTTTTCGCAAAAATAGCGTAAACTAGCGCAAACAAGCGCAAACAAGCGCAAACCAGCGCTAACTATCGCTAACTAGCGTAAATGCACATGAGATTGAAATCTCAAATGTTTGCAACCAATACTTCTTTTAACAACAATAACGTTTTGAATTTCTAATATGTAAACGGATAAGTTTTTTTTTGACATATTTGTGCATAAAATTAAAACTAGAGGAGATACGAGGTCACAACGCGGAGTCGCATGAATTTAACCTTCTCTTCTGTTCATTATGATGTTAAAAAAGGCATCATAAAATTAGAGTTTGTGACAAGGGATCAATAGATTTCTTTAAAAAAGCATCATATAAAAATATTTTATTTTAGATATTCCTATCAATTACTTCATTTTGATAATTATTTCTATTTGTTTTATTAGATTTGTATATGTTTAGGGTTTATTTTCTGATCTTTTCTTTTGTATTTGATTTTTAGAAAATCCTTGTGTCATTATATCCAATATGCAAACTGATATTTATTCGAGAAACAGATATATGAGAAACAATATTCAAAACTGGAAACATGGAACCACCATTCGTCAAACTTTTCTTTTATAAAATACCAACATTACATTTTCAACAATTTATTAAAACTTCCATTTTGCATTTTCATTTTTTAAAGCTTAAAGTTTTATTAAGGTTTTTCCTTGACATATTTTAATGATTTTTCATATCAAGATTCATAATTTTCATATCAAGATTCATAATTTTAGTGTGATTAGACCTTTGCGTTGAAATATATTTCACTTTTGTATTTTGCAACTGTTGCAACAGATATATACTTCTAAAAACCCTTAGAAATAAATCAAAACAATTTTCTGAAATAGCGGTAATCTACAACCTTGGTCTCTGAATCCGATTTGATGCTTGATTCCGAGTTCTTACATAACATAATTCAATTTTTGTACAAGTCCGAAAGGGCGTGGGTTATAATCCCACAGCTGTCGTCATATATAGACTTGAAAAATTACTGAAGTAAAAGGCCGAGATTGTGTGGAATAACGAAACATGTGTGACTCATGGAAGTTCGTAGTAAGATTTTGACTCCACTGGAGACCACCGGAGGGAATTCATTTTCACTGGAGGGGTTTGAAAAAATACTTTTTACAATTTAAAACTTTACGCAGGGTGACTTACATTCCACTGGAGGGATTCAGATATCTTTCAAGGGGTTTATAAATCCACTGGAGGGATTTAGAAATCTTTCCATGGGGTTTATAAATCCACTGGAGGGATTCAGATATCCTTCGTAGGGGTTCAAAATTCCACTGGAGGGATTCAGATATCTTTCCAGGGGGTTTATAATTCCACTGGAGGGATTTATATATCCTTCCTAGGGGTTTATAATTCCACTGGAGGGATTCAGATATCCTTCGTAGGGGTTTAAAATTCCACTGGAGGGATTCAGATATCTTTCCAGAGGGTTTACAATTCCACTGGAGGGATTTAGATATCCTTCCTACAGGTTTGTAATTCCACTGGAGGGATTCAGATATCCTTCCCAGGGGTTTATAATTCCACTAGAAGGATTCAGATATCTTTCCAGAGGGTTTATAATTCCACTGGAGGGATTCAGATCTCTTTCCAGGGGGTTTATAATTCCACTGGAGGGATTCATATATCTTTCCAAAGGGTTTATAATTCCAACAGTAGAATCGAAATCTTACTACGAACTTCTTTGAGTCAACATATTTGCACACAAAAATTATATTTACATTTTAACGCTACAAACGGTTAGTCTTGGATCAATTAAGAAAACTTGATCTAAATAACTTAACATTCCCTTGTGTCGAATATATTACATCTGATTCTGATTCTATACTTGATGATAACTGGCTTGGTATTTGGCAAAAGATGGCGGAGCACACTACTTTCTACAATGGACAAGGAGTACCATTACACTCCTTTCTACCTCGTCCATGGAGTACCCTTACACTCCTTTATACCTCGGCCATATAGTACAGTTACACTCCTTTCTACCTCGTCCATGGAGTACCTTTACACTCCTTTCTACCTCGTCCATGGAGTACCGTTACACTCCTTTCTACCTCGTCCATGGAGTACCGTTACACTCCTTTCTACCTCGTCCATGGAGTACCGTTACACTCCTTTGTCCGGCATCAATTCCTACTGAGCTCCGCCCTGTCTAACTGTACCGAATCCAGGTATACAAGATAAGGAAGGGTTCGATATATTTTGGGGGCTGGCCTGGTGAATCATCAGACTGCAAACATACTAAGAGTTCAATAATCTTTGGTGCTTGTCTTGGGTTAGATTGTCAGGCTACAACCATATTCTCCCTTGGGAGCAATAAACTGATCCCATCATTTCTGAACCCAAATGGGATCGGGGGTTGAAAGTATATTGAGGGGCATGAAGATACACTTTTTTGTTTTTCATGTACTAGTAGTACACTTCAGAAATGTGTACTTTATTTGGGGTGATAAAAGATGTAAATATCAGTAATCAATATAAAAGATAAATAATATGATATACAGAACAATAAACACTCCCTTTGTAGACATTTAGCACTTTGGAATTTGGTTACAACTTGACATCATATTTCAATTGTTTACAATTTCTGCCCTAAATATTAATCAATCAACATTTTGGATCGTATTAGAGGGAATTATATTGACCCCTGCAAATCTTTAGTGACATTTTACCATTGCTGTATAAAATATCAAAAGAAGTTTTCTGCATATTTTCATATTTTTAAGCGAAACAAATGATGGTAATCAAAATAATATAACGTAATCCCCTTTTTCCCAGTACCTTGTGCTAGAGAGAAGATGGGGGGGGGCAGGGGGGGGGTAACATTTTTAGATGATAAAGTTTTATGGTCATCTGAGGTGAAAGGGGAATTTTTTTTCACTATATAGTAATTAAAGAGACTTTATTACTAATATTAACTTATGAAAGGGTAGACTGTTGTGAAGAATGGGCAGACCTCCAGCTTTCTTTTTTTTAAAAATATTTTTTCTGCAGCTTTGCATGGTTTTAATTTCATAAGTATTTTTACATTTAATATTTTCTATATTTAATTATTATTTGTTATTAGATGTTCCGCGGTGTGGTCAACAGGAGCAGGAATCTATAGGAATGAGTTTAGGAGATTCGAAAGTAAGATTTTTAAAAAACATAAAAATGTATTTCATGTAACTTTGTACATTGATATTTTTCTGCACGTTGAATTAAAGTAAGTTGCACGCTGAACTAAAGTAAATTGCACGCCGAACTAAAGTAAACTGCACGTTGCACTAAAAATTCCACGTAAGATTGATATCGTATAACAAAATTTTTAACTATTGAGAACAAAAGTGTTTGTTAATTTTGATATGCATAATGCAACTCAATAAATGTACTTTACTGATACTTGTGTGTAATACCAAAACTAGAGAAGCTACGAGGTCACAAAATAGTAGCAGTAATATCTCAAAACTAGAGAAGCTACGAGGTCACAAAGTAGAACCAGTAATATCTCAAAACTAGAGAAGCTACGGGGTCACAAAGTACAAACAGTAATATCTCAAAACTAGTGAAGCTAAGAGGTCACAAAGTAGTAGCAGTAATATCTCAAAACTAGAGAAGCTACGAGGTCACAAAGTAGAACCAGAAATATCTCAAAACTAGAGAAGCTACGAGGTCACAAAGTACTACCAGTAATGCCTCCTTCTGTCTATTTTGCACTGTCTAAAAACATTTCTAGATTTACTCCAAGATATTCACAAAACAGAGACAATTAGGTTTTAATTTTAATCTAATAGATAGAAACTAAGTTCTTGCCAAAACTCTGATCCCTAAATATTTGAACCCGATGTCGGATACCTTTAATATTATCAAATATGAATTCTGTTACACCAAGTAGGTTGAAATATCAAAGGTTTATACCATCTGGTTTCAAAGATATAGGGATTATAAAATTTGAGTTTGTTTGACATGAATGTGTGTTTGCAATGTTAAAACTAATGAAAGAATATAAAATGTGGTATTTACAGTTACTTTTATAATCCTAATAAAGGCTGCGCAACTGGAATCATTCCCACTATTTTCTTATAAACTACGGGGTGTCCTCTCAAACTTTTAAAGCCGTGTTTGATTTCTATAAAAAATTGTATGAAATAATAAATATCATTTTTTAACCTTTTACTGCAAAAGATAGGACAAATTTATTGATTTTTATTCTCTATAGAAAAACATTTATTCAAGTATTTAATTATTGAACTACTCTCTAAATTTAGAATTTTTACAGTTCGAGAAAATGGCCAAAAATGGAAGAGAAAAAATGAAACAAAATAATTATATGATCTTTGATAGATAATCTGAACGCTGGATTTTTTCATGTGGTTTAAACATATTCTTTCAATGATATACAAAATAATTTAATAATATTATTTATTTTTGCTACGAAAAAAACAATTATACTACGATTTTACATTTTAAGTTATAGTTAAAACAAAATACAGCAGACATACAGGAGATTTAGGAAATTTAGGAGACATACAACAAATATAGTTGAAACAAAATACAGCAGACATACAAGAAATTTAGGAGACATACAACAGATATAGTTGAAACAAAATACAGCAGACATACAGGAGATTTAAGAGACATACAACAGATATAGTTGAAACAAAATACAGCAGACATACAAGAGTTTTAGGAGACATACAACAGATATAGTTGAAACAAAATACAGCAGACATACAAGAGATTTAGGAGACATACAACAGATATAGTTGAAACAAAATACAGCAGACATACAAGAGATTTAGAGTTCATACAACAGATATAGTTGAAACAAAAAAGTAAAACGATATCAGACAGAAACAAAAAAGATAATTGAGCAGGCATAAAAGCACAAAAAAGTAGTATTACAATTAAAGGTAATATAACTTATAACTAAAATTTAATCGTAACCAGAAAAGTGGAATCATAGTTGACTTCTTTTTTAACATATAATGTCAAGGATAAAACAAAAGTTATTAATTATGCCTTAAATAATTTTAGAATTCCTCAAGTTTTAAAATTACATAGAATATTTTTAAGCATGTATTGAGCTAATGGAAGAACAAATTGCATTCATTCCACAATTTTCTGGTTCTTACAAGAAACAGAAATAGCAGAGCAGAAACAAAAGTATCATAGCAGAAAGAGATATATCATAGCATAAATTAAACAGAATATCATAGCAGAAACAGAAGTAACATTATAGAAATAGAAGGAACATACATAAACAGAAGGAACATAACAGATACAGAAGTAACATTACAGAAACAGAAGTAACATAACACAAACAGAACTAACAAAACAGAAAATGACGTAATATAAAAAAAGTGAAAACTTAAACAGAAACAACCAAGCAGAAACAGAATTAACATTAAAGAAACAAAAGTAACATTACAGAAACAGAAGTAAATAACACTAACAGAAGTAGAAAAACAGAAGCAGACGTAACAAAACAGAAATAATATAACACAAACATATGTAACATAACTGAAACAGAAATAACGAAACAGCAACTGAAGTAACATTATAGAAACAGAAGTAACATAGCAGAAACAGAAGTAACATAGCAGAAACAGAAGTAACATAGCAGTAACAGAAATAACATAGCAGAAACAGAAGTTACGTTATAGAATCAGAAATAACATTATAGAAGCAGAAGTAACAAAACAAAAACAGAAGAAACATAACTGAAACAGAAGTAACATAACTGAAACAGAAGTAATAAAACACAAAGAAAAGTAACATAACTGATACAGAAATAACATTATACAAACAGAAGTAACATAGCAGAAACAGAAGTAACATAGCAGAAACGGAAGTAACATAGCAGAAACAGAAGTAATATTATAGAAGCGGAAGTAGCATAACAGAAACAGAAGAAACATAACTGAAACAGAAGTAACATAACTGAAACAGAAGTAACATAAATGAAACAGAAATAATAAAACACAAACAAAAGTAACATAACTAAAACAGAAGTAACATGATTGAAATAGAAGTGACATTAAAGAAACGGAAAAAAATAACATAACCAGAAGAAACATAACCAAAACAGAAGTATCCTGACAGAAACAGAAGAAACATAATAAAAGTTACAAAACCTACAGACAACAAATTTAACAAACAAACAAGTTGCATAGCAAACACCTTGACAGAACTGTGTGTGAAATGTGAGGGTAAAATCTGACTATTTATTCTTTTATGATGATTTCCCCTCTGCTCTTCTGCAAGAATATAAAGCTATATTGAGACCTAGAGATGCAGCATAAAATTATACACGAACAGAATTTATAAAATAGGGGGAAGCAGGATTTTTGACGAGATTTTGGGGGATTACATTGTGAGAGTTATCTGCAGCTTTAAAGGTCACAAAAAAGAACATCTTACGCAACGAAAATATTTCAATTATTTTATGATTTTAATAATCTTTTTAAAATAAATGGCATGACAAAAAAGTATTGTTTTAAATGGTGATTTTAATTATTGGTGTTTCTTTTTGTATCTTAATTGCTTTTTAGTTTTCAATCGTGGACTTCCTTGATTGCTACTGTTAAATCTATCTTTTTGATTATATCGTATTTCGAAATCACTATCTCTGTGCCAATTGAGGTAATTTCCTAGAAAACGATTTTTGGACCCCCCCTTCCTATCAATTTTGTACATGGGTCTGACAGGAAGTGTCTTAACTTAACCTAACCCGTGGCCGCAGCGCTCGGCCCAGAAAGTGTCTTAACCTAACCTAAAATCCAAAAATCGTTAACTAGGACAGACCCCCAATTGAGATATATATATATATATTTGAATTTGCTACATTGCTACACATATTTAGATTATAGTTTGTCCTGTTTAATCCATATATCCAAATTTAGATTAAAGTTTGTCCTGTTTTATCTATATATCCATATTTAGATTATAGTTTGTCCTGTTTTATCCATATATCCATATTTAGATTATAGTTTGTCCTGTTTTATCCATATATCCATATTTAGATTATTATAGTTTGTCCTGTTTTATCCATATAACCATATTTAGATTATAGTTTCTCCTGTTTTATCCATATATCCATATTTAGATTATAGTTTGTCCTGTTTTATCCATACATCCATATTTAGATTATAGTTTGTCCTGTTTTATCCATATATCCATATTTAGATTAATGCTTATCCTGTTTTAGCCATATATCCATATTTAGATTATAGTTTGTCCTGTTTTAGCAATATATATCCATATTTATATTATAGTTTGTCCTGTTTTATCCATATATCCATATTTAGATTAATGCTTATCCTGTTTTATCCATATATCCATATTTAGATAATAGGTTGTCCCGTCTATCCATATATATCCATATTTATATTATGGGTTGTTCTGTTTATCCATATATCCATATTTAGATTATAGTTTGTCCTGTTTTATCCATATATCCATATTTAGATTATAGTTGTCCCGTTTATCCATATATCCATATTTAGATTAATGCTTATCCTGTTTATCCATATATCCATATTTAGATTAATGCTTATCCTGTTTTAGCCATATATCCATATTTAGATTATAGGTTGTCCCGTTTATCCATATATCCATATTTAGATTAATGCTTATCCTGTTTATCCATATATCCATATTTAGATTATAGTTTGTCCTGTTTTAGCCATATATCCATATTTAGATTATAGTTTGTCCTGTTTTAGCCATTTATCCATATTTAGATTATAGTTTGTCCTGTTTTATCCATATATCCACATTTAGATAATAGTTTGTCCTTTTTTATCCATATATCCATATTTAGATTAATGCTTATCCTGTTTTAGCCATATATCCATATTTAGATTACAGGTTGTCCCGTTTATCCATATATCCATATTTAGATTATAATTTGTCCTGTTTTATCCATATATCCATATTTAGATTATAGGTTGTCCCGTTTATCCATATATCCATATTTAGATTAATGCTTATACTGTTTTATCCATATATCCACATTTTAATTATAGTTTGTCCTGTTTTATCCATATATCCATATTTAGATTATAGTTTGTCCTGTTTTATCCATATATCCATATTTAGATTATGCTTATCCTGTTTTAGCCATATATCCATATTTAGATTATAGGTTGTCCCGTTTATCCATTTATATTCATATTTATATTATAGGATGTCCTGTTTATCCATATATATCCATATTTAGATTATAGGATGTCCTGTTTTATCAAATCCTCAAAACCTGACATTTCATTGGTTCTTCAATTCTACTCCTGATTTCAAGGTAAAACAGGTTTTCATTATTAATTTTACAATTGACGGGGGTGCAAGCTTTTCTACGATAAATCGAATTAGGTACACGGTTTGTTTTTTGTGTTATTATATGGTGCAGTTTATGACAAAATAAACAGGCATACGGTAGATTTGGTAGATTTATAAATCGATTAATTGTCCTTTTTTATTCCTGCTGCCGTTCTAAGTTAGGTATAATATGGTGCACAGTCCTATACTTTTAGTACCATAATATACAGTTCCCTAAATATATAAGTTTAAACAAATGAAATAATTTCCCTTGAGTTGAATTTAAAATACCAGATGGGATTCTAACTAAACTTATTTTTAATTAAACCACCAAGTTAAATTAAGTTTAACACTATTTGTCAAATAAACCATTTACTTTGATTAATTGGATACATTTGTTAGATCTTTTACAATTTCTTAATATTCTTTTAAGAAATAAAAAAGTCAAATCTTTGCAAAGTTAGATCAATAAAAATATTTATCCTTCTTTATCTGCTTTCCTACTTAAAGGGTATGTCTGATTTACAATGGTACCCCGTTTAAACCTTTTTCTGACCAAGGATAGATTAGATATCAGAATTTCTAATAGGTGTTACAATGTGTCGTGAGGATTTGTGTGCAACAAAGCAGTGAGTAAAACTGTCAGGCTTTCGCAAGGTTTAGGAGGTGATATCTTCCTCTTGGGAGGCGATATTTTCCTCGTGGGAGGCGATATCTTCCTCATGGGAGGCGATATCTTCCTCATGGGAGGCGATATCTTCCTCATGGGAGGCGATATCTTCCTCATGGGAGGCGATTTCTTTCTCATGAGAAGCGATATCTTCCGCATGGGAGGCGATATCTTCCTCATGGGAAGCGATATCTTCCTCATGGAAGGCGATATCTTCCTCTTGGGAGGCGATATCTTTCTCATGGGAAGCGATATCTTCCTAAAAGGAGGCGATATCTTCCTCATGGGAATCGATATCTTCTTCATGGGAGGCGATATCTTCCTCTTGGGAGGCAATATCTTTCTCATGGGAAGCGATATCTTCCTCATGGGAGGCGATATCTTCCTCATGGGAAGCGATATCTTCCTCATGGGAAGCGATATCTTCCTCATGGAAGGCGATATCTTTCTCATGGAAAGCAATATCTTCCTAATGGGAAGCGATATCTTTCTCATGGGAGGTGATATTTTTCTCATGGGAGGCGATATCTTCCTCATGGAAGGCGATATGTTCTGAATTTCTAAAATTAAATTTCCCTTTCTTTAACTTATGAATAAAATCAAGAGGAGATGCGTGGTCACAATTAATCGTAACAGTAATGTCACATAAACTTTGCCTACTCCTTCTTTCTAGTTAATTCACTCTTTATAGCTAAAGGGTCAATTGGAATTAAGTTTCACATATATTCATCTTTATCGATTGATAATTGACATGAATTTAGAATTTTTTTCCCAAAAGTGGAATTTTCAATTTTGTAGTTTTAAAATTATTCGTTTTATTTCCCTTAATATAACATTTAGAAATACTAAATCTTTTACTATAGCTTCTGGTTGAACTATTTTAACTGGCTAATAAAGAGGAACTTTAACTTACAGGGTTACCCACAAAGGATGAGATTGTAAAGACGACTTTAGATTATTCAAATATGTCGATTCCAAGTTTGGACTAAGCCTTCTGCCTTGAATGTGGTCTTTGTATGCCTTATTTGATGATTTGGAACAGATAGAAAAAGTTTGAATTAAGCTGATAGGAATCCTTAATGTAAAGAAACAGACAGTATAAATTCCGTACAGTCGTCTTTGAAGTCTTATCCTTTGTGGGTTCCCCTGTAGATTAACTATCAGGTTTATCTACGTATAAATCCTCATAAATTTCAACAAGCTCAAAACTTAGGTCTAAATTCATTTTACGAGTTTAATGAAATATATGTTCAGGGAAGGGAAGGGGTGCAGGGCAACCATGAGCCCCGTAAAATGGTATCTGAGCCTCCGTATTCGCGGATAAGTATTTCAATGACCTGGCGCTACCCTTAGACGTTAAAATAGATATTTTAGAAGTAATAAATAACATTTTTAAAGAAAATCTTTAATCTATAAAATAGTTATGCAGTGTTTTATTGAATAGGCAAAAAAACATTCCATTATTAAAATATTAATATTTTTTTCTAAAAACCTTTACACATTACTCCCACATTACTGAAGGAAAGGGGTAGCGCAAGGTTATTTTTAAGACTCCTCTGCGAATCCAGAGACTTGAAGACAATTTCGCTGGGCTCACCTCTGCGAATCCAGAGACAATTTCGCTGGGCTCATGGTGGCCCTGCACCCCCTCCATACACTGGGCTCATGGTGGCCCTGCACCCCCTCCATACACTGGGCTCATGGGGCCCTGCACCCCCTCCATACACTGGGCTCATAACGGCCCTGCACCCCCTCCATACACTGGGCTCATGGCGGCCCTGCACCCCCTCCATACACTGGGGGCTCATGGTGGCCCTGCACCCACTCCATACACTGGGCTCCTGGTGGCCCTGCACCCACTCCATACACTGGGCTCATGGTGGCCCTGCACCCCCTCCATACACTGGGCTCATGGTGGCCCTGCACCCCCTCCATACACTGGGGGCTCATGGTGGCCCTGCACCCCCTCCCTAATATGTTATCTCTCTTTAAGTTTTAATTCAAATCTTTTCCAAGATGAAAATTTTCTATGGAAGGCTGAGAACTCTTTGCATAAAAGCAAACATAATATCTTTATCTTATTCTTCTTTATAGCTTTTGATTTTATTTCACATTTTTACAAGGGTTTTTTATACAGAATCTGAGATGGGGTGATTTATAAACCAGTCCATTTCATCAATAAATCTTTTTAAACGTTGATTATCAACAAAGGGAGTGGGGGGGGTTTGGTTTAAAATTTTATCCCATGGAATGTTTCTGTACCGTCAAAGATAAAATTTCATTATTTTTGAAAATGTTCCAGTTAAAAACTGAAAAATCCGCAAAAATTTGAGAACAATTAAAATTGGTGAATTTTAATTGAAAGTTAAATTGTTATTAGGAAAGAGGACGTAGACAATGTAATTTTAGCATTTAATTACTAAAAAAGTGTAACTAAATGTAATTATAACAAAAGGGATTACAGTAAATGTTATTACATGAAGTGTAATTATGTCATATGTAAAATGTAATTAAACCAAAATATATATATTTTTTTCAGTTTATTAAAGAGTTAGATGAGACTCTAAACAAATACTCTCTAGCTTTCTGACCCCCCCCCCCCTCCCCCATCTATCACTCAAATAGAAATTAATAAAAAGGATGAAAGTGAAGAATCAAATATTTCTTAATAAATTGACATTTTATACAGTAAAAACTAAAGGATTTAATAACTTATCTTGACTTCAAACAAAAATATTTGAGATGTTCAAATATCCTCCAACTATTTAGGGTACATTTTGTCCCTCCCTAAAGTTAAAAAGCAAAACAAGCATCGTTTGATCTCAACATTTGACGGCCTAAAGTGCAACATGCCTTTGATGTGGTGTAGACCTAATCAGATTTGGTGATGGATACATTGCTCAAATATATATTTACAGTGATAACCAGAAAACTTTGAAATAAGAAGACGACTTTATTGTATTACTTTAGTGTATTTCTTGCTATCACTGTATATATACAATTTATTTATCTATTCACATAATTTATAAATATAAATTTAAATAGTTGAGCTGAAAGTGCAGTATTATAAACATAAACTTTAGGATTCATTTGATACTAATTAGACATTTTACGGTGTACAATTTTTAAAGTCGTTTGTAATATTTCATCAGTTGTTCTGCAGTCAGCAGAAGAAACGTTTTTTACAATTAATTTATAACACGGAAAAAAACTGATAAAAACTGATTTTAAAAAGTAATTTGCTGTTTAGAAAAATATGTATTTTTTAAAGGTGATTATAGATAAAATTTTCATTGAAAATATCTTATTGGTATCCAAAGAATCCTAAAGTTTCACTACAATACTGCACTTTTAGCTCAATATCGATTTCTTGCAAATCACTCCTTTTTAGGATGTACGCAGCTTGTAGAAACCTACTGGCTACTTGAGTACCTGGATATATATATTTATATATATATATATAAATATATATATACTGTTTAGTAGAACTTGAACCTAGCTGCTACTGGAGTACCTGGAGTACTTATATATATATGCATATATATGTTTACTGTTTAGGAGTATTTGAACCTACCTGCTACTGGAGTACCTGGATATCAAGTCCAGTACTTAGTTAGGAACTCAGGTATTACGATTAATTACTCCCATCAAACTCAAATTTTCTCATCTCTATACCTTTGTAACCTGATGTCCTACACCAGTGTATGAATTCTGCTAGATAAATTATTACAGTTTGCAATACCTAAGGTTTACACCATCTGTTTACAAAGATATTGGGATTAAAAAAATTAGAGTGTGTGCAAAAAGCGAGATATATGTCGCACACACTACATAGTACAGCTTGATATATGTCGTACACACTACATAGTACAGCTAGATATATGTCGCACACACTACATATATCAGCTAGATATATGTCATACACACAACATAGAACAGCTAGATATATGTCATACACACTACATAGTACAGCTAGATATATGTCATACACACTACATAGAACAGCTAGATATATGTCATACACACTACATAGAACAATTAGATATATGTCATACACACTACATAGTACAGCTAGATATATGTCATAAACACTACATAGAACAGCTAGATATATTTCATACACACTACATAGTACAGCTAGATATATGTCATACACACTAGATAGAACAGCTAGATATACGTCATAAACACTACATAGTACAGCTAGATATATGTCATACACAATACATAGTACAGCTAGATATATGTCATACACAGTACATAGTACATCTAGATATATGTCATACACACTACATAGAACAGCTAGATTTATGTCATACACACTACATAGAACAGCTAGATATATGTCATACACTCTACATAGAACAGCTAGATATATGTCATACACACTACATAGAACAGCTAGATATATGTCATACACACTACATAGTACAGTGCTATATAGGTCACACACACTACATAGTACAGCTTGCTATATAGGTCACACACACTACATAGTACAGCTCTATATAGGTCATACACACTACATAGTACAGCTAAATATATGTCATACACACTACATAGTACAGCTCTATATAGGTCACACACACTACATAGTACAGCTATATAGAGGTCGTACAAACGTCATTGTACACACAGTCCATGTTTTGCTCATATTTAATATAAATATATTAAAATTATAAATAAAAATATCCTTAAATTAACAGGATAAGACTGAGTTTAACAGTGTAGAATTGAATTTAGTATTCGTACGAGCTCCCAATTGATTCATCTTTCCTAAAATCCATTAATGCAATAAACTTCAACATAATTTACTAATTTCTCCAAGGGGGCTTTCCAGGAATGGTATAATATTCCTTACCAATGAACATATATACATAAATATTTCCATCTTCTTCGAGCTTTTTCTTGATGTGATCCCAACATGATGGATAACTCTTTATTTTCCAGTATATAATTCCTTTAAGATATTCCTTTTAAAACATTTGTTGACAAACGTTAGTTGGATTTGTGACTGCAGTCAAATAGTCTGATAGATCTACCCAAGGTTATAATGCAAGGAAAGTTATTTCAGAGGTGTACGCATCTTTAGTACTGCAGTGTACTGTCTTTTGGCGATAATGTGAACACAAGACGGATGTCAAAGCCTGACATGGAATCCATCCTTCACATAAAAATCAATGAAATATTCTGGTCATAGGAAACTATTATGTGAATTATCAAAATTATCAAAATTTAATGCTTTTAACCTCCTCGGATGCTAAACAAACACTGATGCATCTATTCTTGTTTACAAATTCCGCACAGAGAGAACTGGTTTTATATGTACGCAGAGTATATGCAACTGTAATAAGCTTTCCTTGCATTATAACCTTGGATCGATCTATCTTCGGTAATTTCGATAGAATGAACACAAGGTATTTCTTCAAGTTTTAAACAACTCTTTAAGCAATGATAAAACTTTTGTTTATATTTATTATTTTATTGGTCAGCAGTGTTTTTAAAATAAAGTTGTGAAAGCGTGGACAATTTATGTTCTTTAAAGAACTGTCCTTTTCCTGGTTTAAGTTAGGCAAAAAAAAGAATAAATTTCTTTGATGTTACTTTTTCGCGAAAGGCCTAAATTATGCACATTTTCAGTTTGCATTATTCTTTAAAATTAAATTTTCATTATTAATATACACTTACACTTTCACGCGCTTACTTCTTTTAAGCATATTTTTGAAGAGCTTTTTTGTGATAAATAATATTTTAATTTTTTTCAAAAAATATTATCAACAAAAAATGGATTGTATATGTCGAAATTATAAAAGTTGAAAGTTTTAAAAATACGAGATTCCCCCCCCCCTCCCTGCTTCTCCATTCTAAAGTAATCATAGGGTTTAAGTTATCAATAATCTCAATCTATACGACACCAATATCCAAACGAACAAATCTAAGTTTAACAATAATTTTATCTTAGTATTGAAATTAAAGCTAACTGTTATTAAATACAAAGCTGTCCAATAAATGAAAACTTTAAATCTCAACTATAAAGTTTACAACTTTAAATGAAATAAAGTTCATAATTGTTCATAGATAAAAAACTACAAGAGCAAGAATTATGATATGAACGTACTTAAATTGAATCATACATTATGAATTACAAATTTCACATTATTTCACAAAAGGCTTTCAAATATCTTTCTACAGAAACCGAATTTTATTAATTGAAGAGAATCTTCTGAACTACTTACTGTTAGTTAAACTACGTCTCAATTAAGCTCACTGACTCATATTCTGAGTCTTCAATTCAAATTTCAAGGTTCTGCACAATCCTAATTCAAGTCAGCTGATGGACCATTTTCGCCAATACTTTCATCCAATCAGAGCGCAGCAAATATCAGATTCATCAATCTATTGGGAACAAAGATTGAGGCTTGAAACGTTGCATAATCGGCCCTATTCAATAATAGTTAAATTAATTTTATAACTGTGTATATTCAAGTATTTATAAAATTAGATCAATTGTGATCAGGTGTATCTTAAAATAAACCTTCATTTAAGGTGATTACGGAAGTTTGCTGTGCTATGGAGAAAATTCTGTAGGTTATCAAGAATCCCCCTGTATCTTTCATATTATACCATCAGGTCAGAAATCCCCCTGTATTTTTTATATAATTCATTTATTACAAATCCCCCTGTATTCTCTATGTAATTCATTCATTAGTAATCTCCCTCTATTCTCTTTGGGATTTTTCTAATAATTGATTTATGTAGAGGATACAGTGAGATTATAAGTCAAATATTAGCAATCTCCCAGTATCCTCTATATAAATCAAAAATTAGCAATCTCCCAGTATCCTCTATATAAATCAAATATTAGCAATCTCACTGTATCCTCTATATAAATCAAATATTAGCAATCTCCCAGTATCCTCTATATAAATCAAATATTAGCAATCTCCCAGTATCCTCTATATAAATCAAATATTAGCAATCTCCCAGTATCCTCTATATAATACAATTATTAGTAATCTCCCTGTATCCTCTACATAATTCATTTACTAGGAATTTCCCTGTATCTTCTATATAATTCATGTATTAGGAATCTTCCTGTATCCTCTATATTATTCATTTATTAATTAAATCTCCCTGTACCTTCTTTGTAATTCATTTATTATGAATCTACTAGTATCCTCTATACTACAAATACTCGATATGATATGATACAGAGGAGACAGAAAACAGTGGAATGATATGATATGATACAGAGGAAACCAGAAAACAGTGGAATGATATAATTGTCGCATTTGTTTCTTTTATTTGTACTACAAAATGTCGCCACTACTGTATTTGTTTCTAACTTTTTCTCAAAATGTGTTCTGAACATGTTTTAACCTATATCAAGTAAAAAATATGTATTATGTATATTAATATATTAGATATATGTCATGTATATATTAATTAGATATATGTAATATGTACTTATATAACAATTAGCAATTACGAATAACAACATTCTTAATTATTACAAAGGAAATTTGTTTTTGCAGCAAATTCTTTTCTTCTAATTTTTATATCTACTCAACCAAATGTCGTAGACCTTAGATAATTCAAACTATGCATTCTGTTAGATCAAATAGTCTAAGTTTGAAATATCAAAAGATTACGCTATCAGGTTGAAAAGATAAGAGGTTTAAAAATTTGAGTTTGTGAAAAAGACTCAATTCCTTTACAATTGTCTGGAATCCCCCTGTATAATTTATAAAAATACAATAATTGTGTGACTTCCATGTCTTTTTAATGCCCATTGCCTCTACATGGCAACAAGGAAGTGGAGTTGATCCCAGAGTTAAGATTTAAGACAGATTTAAAATAAACATAGAATCCCCATTTTCTAGTTTTCAAATTTTAGTTCTATAACTTCAAACTCTAGGGAAAATAAAAATAAAAAATAAAAAGGTGGTAGGCTAAGGCCCCCCTGGTTACGCCCTAGAGTGGGATAATATAAAGAACGACTAATATACTTCTGCAAACATACTTCACTGTATATAGTATATACTTGGTCAACATAGTAATTTCCCAGCAAGTACCAAACTGTATACTCCGGTTTATTTACCAGGCCGACATTTAGGCAGCTAAAGGGAGTTGTTCTCAGTCTATATATGGTAAAACGGGACAATAGATACATCAAATGCATTTTTTCCATTCTTTTGTCATTAATGTTACTTCTTAATTTAACCCCATTATCTATCTATCTTAACGTGCCCAAATTTGGCCTAATCTTCAGGGGGTGTACATTGTACATTGTACATTCATTGTACATTGTACAATGTACGATGTGCATTGAAATTTTCTTATCTAATTTTTTGTTTCCTTATTAGAGCCATCTTAACCCTATCTCTGCTGGGGTACTTGAAAACCAGGATATGCTGGGGGGGGGTCAATTCGACCCCCCCCCCCTCTAAATCCCATGTTTGATGTTCAAATATGACAAATGATACATCATTCGAAAGCTCTTGTGCTCTACTTTTAGAATCTGCAAAAAAAATTGCAAATTTGCAAAAATTAAATTTTTTATCGCAAAACCCAGTTATATAGTAAAAATGGGTTCAAAACCAAATTTGTCCAAAAATGAAAAATTAAACATTTTTGAAAAACCCTTCACCATGCCATTTTAAATATGCAAAAAATTTTGCAAAAATTTAAATAACCTGTTTTTTTAATCAAGAAAAACTAAAAATGTGCAAATTTCATTTGACAGGTTGTTTGCAAAAAATTTGCAATTTTTTTTCGCAAAAATTGTGCATTTCGTTTCCTTATGTCAAAGGCTTTCCAAAAAGCTAAATTTTATCAAAATCTGACAAGTGGAAGTGGGTCAAAACAAAGATTTAGTTTGTTACAGGAAAAAGCAGTCATTCAGGCAGTGTGCCTGAGGACTCAGGCAGTTAGTATTAAAGCCCGGTTTTAGGCCTAAAGGGAGGGCTTTGGGTATGTAGGAAAAGTCAGAAAATTTCAACAGCCTAAGACCAATACTTTTTGAGTTATGTAAAAAAACTACAGGGGGGGTCAAATTGACCCCCCCCCCCAGCAGGAATAGGGTTAATCGTTCATTTCCGTTTATTAATTACATTCAGGAAACTCCAACAAAATCTGATAAGTTTTATATATTTCAAAACGGATTTCTATAAAAGATTGATTTTACTACACTATGTAAAATTTTACTCTTGCAGAGATAAATTCCTGAAGAATTTTCTAAATCGTTTGTTAATGAAAAACTTGATTCTGCTTCGTGCAGGCTTTTTACGCTTTTCTCTTCTTTCAGAGTCGAACTTTTGCATAATTAATCGTAGACTTTATGGAATTATGTTAAATCGTTTCTAGTTCTAAATTAAGATTAAAGGGACGAATTAGGAATTTTTTTAAATGCATAATTTTTTTTTTTAATTCAATAATGTTCTTGCAGAAAATACCAGGTTTTTTGAGTATTGTGTGCGTATTTTGACGTTAAAGGTTGGAGATAATCCAATATGATATTGGACACTTTGTACCTTATTCAGTCTATTAAGTTTTGCAGTTTTCCTTACTTGTAGTGCAAAAACATGTATATATTCATATAAAAATACATTTTACACTAAATGAATAGTTTTTAACTAAAAGTAGTATTCTCTGTCATTTCTACAAGTTCTAAAACCAGGCCCCCTCGAGACAGAAACTCCGAGCTGTGAAGAAACTAAACAATTTGATCAAAGAACTTTTTCAAACATTTAATGGACTCGTATATCTTGGTAGAAACTTATGCCACCACTGTTCTCACAGCAAAGACTAAAATAAGACAAATATTAAAAGGATAGTGTCTGAGTATGTTGAATAATCTGAAATTAGCGTATTCTTATTCACAACTGCAGTACCTTTTTAACTTTTATCGTAAAACTAAGACATGAATATCGTCAGTCTTACTTCTTGACTATTTTATCGTAAATTATCAATTACAAATAAGAAAAATGTTTTAAAACTTTTTTCTTTTTTAATTTCAAAATATAACGAACAAAGACGATAATTCCCCTGCAGGTGTTTTATTAAGGTGTACAATGCACCGTTGTAAATTAGCTAGTGGAACGTCATATCAGGGGGGGAGTGCAGATAGTCCTCAATAGGTAATCACCGCCACCCAAACATGTTTTGCGGCATGCGCGCTCTTCAATTGGTAATCTCCACCACCTCAATAGGTAATCAGACAAAAAGGCGTAACATTAAATCGCTTATTTCTTAGAAATAAGACCATATTGACGTCTGTTAATGAAAAAATCGGTTTATTGTTAACTTTTTATTTCTGATTACCAATTTAGGAGTGCGCATGCCGCAAAACACGTTTGGGTGGCGTTTGTTTACTTCTGCACTCCCCCCCCCCACGTCACATAACGAAGATGATCCATTGAAATGATGTTTTAATTGATACTTGTAGGTCCCCCTGCTCAACCTATAAACTGTTCTGTTTTGGACCCAGACCCACGTCAGGTAAAGCAGAAACTTCAGACATTTTAAACATTTTAAATCGGATTCTAACCATGCTAAACTGATCGAAGACGACAGATTTTTGCAGCAATTGTTATCTTTAACCGGTAATGTTACTTCTGTCCTACAGTACTTCCGTCCTACGATAATTCGGACCTACGCAACATCGGACCTACGACAGCTGTAGGTCGGATATACATTAGATTTTGTGAATCAGGACTTCGCAGGAACTGCAGATATTGTCAGTATGTAGTTGACAGTGCTCCCATAAAGATATATGTTGCGGTTTAAATAGATCGGATGCACACTTTTTGCAGGTCGGATGCACAGATTTTGTATGTCGGATGAACTGCAACTTTTGTAGATTTTGTAGGTCAAATGCACACTTTTTGTAAGTCGGATGCACATGATTTTGTAGGTCGGATGAACAACTTTTGTAGGTCGGATGCACAGATTTTGTAGGTCAGATGCACACTTTTTCTAGGTCGGATGCACACTTCTTGCAAGTCGGATGCACATATTTTGTATGTCGAATGAACAACTTTTGTAGGTCGGACGCACAGCTATTTTGTAGGTCAGATGCACACTTTTTCTAGGTCGGATTCATAACTTGTGTAGGTCAGATGCACACTTCTTGAAGGTCGGATGCACAGATTTAGTAGGTCAGATTCACAATTTGTAGGTCGGATGCCCAACTTTAGTAGGTCGGATGCCCAACTTTAGTAGGTCAGATGCACAACTTTAGTAGGTCGAATGACATCTTTATTAGGTCGGATGCACAACTTTTGTAGGTCGGATGCACAACTTAGGTTTTATACACAACTTTTGTAGGACGGATGCACAAAAAAGTTAGTGTATCCGACCTACTATAGGTCGGTTGCACAGATTTTTTAAGTTGATTGCACTCAATTCTTCAAAACCACTGATTTATTTCAAATTTCTCTCTCTACTTATTACCAAAAAAGACTTTTTTTAAAAGCACTAGAATATTATTTTATTAAACATCTTTAACAGTGTTCATTAACATTTGTTCATAACAGAAAATCATATTTTCTCTTTTTGTCACTTTACCTTCTCTAACATTGAGCAGCAAAATTCAGTTTTTGATAATCATTTCAGAAAAGTTTTTTTTGAGACTTAAAGGCCTATTAGAGCTTACTCGTTTATTTTTTTGTACGCATTTTTACTCTAAAGTATTCTTCAATCATTTGATTTTCCTTTTTTCCAAGTTTTGACAATGTTTCCAAATATTGTTCTAAAATAGCAAAAAATCTCGAAATATTCAATTTTTCAACTTTCTTTTACACAAAACAAGCTAAAAATTTCCATAAAACAAAATTAACAATACGATTTATTTATCTTAACATAAAACCATATATAATGCATAATTCCATTGTTTACTGCAACATTGCTACACAATATAAAGGTTGTCCCACGAAACATAACAGTTCTAAGACGACTTTAAAGTCGTCTTAATACTTTAAATTCATTCGTGTAAATCACGAAATTCTCCTAGTCCTGGCATTTCCAAAATGTGTTTTCTTTTTTTTTGTGCTGTCTAGTGTCTATATTACGGGAGAATTGCGTCCAGATTTCACTTATATTTTATAAAACCAAAATTGTCGAAATCTGAACAAAATTCCAGACCAGACCACATTTGGGAAATGCCAAGACTAGAAGTATTATGTGATTCTTAATTTTCCAAATTATATCGAGGATCAAAGACGACCTTCAATTCGTCTTGCTACTGTCATGTTTCCTGGGACTCCCTGTAATAAAATGTGAAATGCTAATAATTTTGAATGCATTGTTTAATTTTATGAAACTTTATGAATTTAATATAAATATATATATATTTATATATTTCTAGATTAATATTGCCTGCACACCAGGGTATGATGGGGGTATAAAGCAGGTAGGAGATTGTTCACTTACAGTGGGACCCATAAAAATTGTGGAATAGAAAAACAACATTCAAGCTTTATTGTGGAAAACAACATTCAAGCTTTATTGTGGAAAACGACATTTAAGCATTATCATGTGTATGTGTTGTTGTTGTAAACTAAATAGTTTCTCCTGTATCTTGAAAATCAACCAATACAGTTCAACATTATTGTTTTATAAAATATGGTAATTTTTTTCTTAGAAGTATGTTTGTGAACTGTATTCTATTGACCCACATGATGCAGATGACCATGTACTCTCTGACCCCGCAGATGAGTCAGGGGGTGAGGGTGAGGAGGGGCCTCATCCTGAACCTAAACTAGGAAGAATGTTTAGAAATCTCAGCAATGAGGAACCTATATTCACCCTCTATAATCTGGAACCTGGAACCAGGTGAAAACGAAGGAACTCAAACTCGAATTTTCTAGTCGTTATATCTTTGCAACCTGATGTAGAGATTTAATCTTCTAAATAATAAATCTCTTCGCTCAATTAATATTTTAGCTATAGCTGGCCAAACGACTAAACCAAATTGGCTGATATTTTTGAGGGAACCTTTGTGCACAACGGGGAAATATAGGCTAAAAAAAGTTTTTTGTTTCAAGATTGAAATTAAAAAAAAAAAAAATTCAATTCCACGGGCGACGCCGGGCATTTTAGCTAGTTTTTCATAATAATAATAAAATATTAAAAGTTTACACAATCAAGTTGTAAAGAGTTTGAGTCAAGTGTTTAGTTTCTTTCAACAATAAACAATATTGACTATTTAACCAAATATATTAGTAATATATTAGTCTAATTTAACCAAATATAGTAGTAATATATTAGTCTAATTTAACCAAATATATTAGTAATATATTAGTCTAATTTCTGTTTTGTGTATTTAACATATATTAACCAAAATACATTTCGATTATTATTATTATTATTATATTTCTTTTTTCTTTTAGGTTTGTAGCAAGTATTTACGCAGTGAATAGTAAAGGTAAAATTATAATTATCCTATTAAAAACTGTTACGAAATAATGATCTTCAGAAAGAAAAATGGCGAACGCGAAATATCTGAAAACTTTTCGTTGACAGTCTCATTAAATTGAAATAATGTAGGTTCAAGTAAGAGAGTTTACATGAAGGCATCAACGGTAAAAGAAACTTTCCGTTTACCTCTTCTCACCAAGGACGAGGGTATGATTAATTAATTGATAAGAAGACGACTTAGAAAAATGACAATGTCAACTTTCAATTATCTTTACATCTGAAGTAAACGAGTATTTTTGAAAAAGAAGTTTAAAATTATTATGAATTAAAATGCATGGATTCTACTTTTATTTTTTTATTTAAGTCTGGGCTTAAAATTTTAGTATTACATTCTTTTTGGAAACAAAATAGACAATAAATCAACGATATTAAAGTTTGGCTACAGGAATATTTTTTTTAATTCATCTAGAAATTAATTAATTTTGATTATCGAGTTTAAACCAATGTTAGGCTCTGCGGTGGACCTTGATACTCCAAACCTAATAATTCAACAAGAGAATATTGAAAACAAACAAAACAAGGTTGGTGCTTTTGTGATATTTGAACTGATTGTTATGATGAACAACAAAATTCGGTGTCTATTGCGAAGAAAGTTAAGAAAATGTTTATAAAGTGTATTTACCCCCTGCCCCTCCCCCATTTAGAGAAGAATTAGGTTTAAAATTTACAAAAGCATTATCAGCTGTCTCCCTGAAAATTATTTTTAGTTTCTGTTTTCGGGAAAAGTTTTTGCACCATGCATTGATTTTTATTTGCTGTGTTCAAAATATTCAGTACAGGGGGTCCCATGCATGTAGGATAATCCCCAAGCTTTAACACCAAAATACTTACAGAATACCTTGTATTTTCTACATGTTAATTCTTGTATTTGCCTGAATGAGATTTTACATTCCATTTATAGAGGAAAATTTCCGATTTGTCAGATATACTTATTACTGATGATCAGGTAATAAGTATAATCTGACAAAAACTTAAATTTTGTTTATACGAATTCGATACTTTTCAAGCTGACAATACGACGATATCTTCCACATTATTGATCAGATTAACATGTTAAGGGTACTGTTGAAATGAGTATTTGCAACAAACTCGGACTTTCTAATTCTATTACTTAGCAACCCATTCTCCTGGACCTTTGATATTTCAAACTTTTAATTCTATTAGATCAAATATTCTAAGTTTGAAATATCGAAGGGTTACACCATCAGGTTGCGAAGCTATAGGGGTTAGACAATGTGAGTTTGTTGCAAAAACTCAATTTCTTTGGGAAATCCTGCAGTCTAAAGGTTTCACATTTTGACTTAGGAAAAGCATTTGACTCTTTAACATTTATCATTCATATGTTGTTACAATGTATAATGTACAAAACAAGACAGTACAATACTTTGTACTTTGTACTATGTAAAGCTATTACTTGTGCACTGCATTCATATACTGCTTGATAAGGCTGTACATGTGCATAGTTGTTTGCTGTACATTTCAGATATTTCTGAACATTTGTACATATAGTTGTCAAGTGTACGTTACCATATTTGTAGATGTTTCTGTACATGGGGATAGCTGTGTGCTGTACATCTGTCTGTGCAGTTTTAAATCTAATCTGTGGCTGGAAACTGTACAGAAGAAGAAGGGTAAGTTTAATTGTATAATTTAGTTTATTAACGATTTTTTATTTTATTTTATCATACTTTGATTTCTAATCTTATTTTCCACGGCCCTCTCTTATCTTTATATTCATTTAACCTTTTTATATAAAATAAATGATAGAATAAATTATCTTATAGGTATAGGTCTGGACCAAGTATAAGAATTGCTGAATCTGTGAAAGTACGACACTAGACAACTAGTGTGTACTGTGTGTGTATATATTAGAATGTGAATATAATGAAGACGGGTGTGTGTATCAGTATAGTACTGTATTAATGATCAGGGTATGTGTAGACACTATACACTATAACAACATATACTTTTAATCTGTAAATACAAACAGAATAATATGGTATAGATTGTTACCAGCATATCCTGGTTTTCAAGTACCCCAGCAGAGATAGGGTTAAATGCTGTAAATGACCTTCCATTTTTATAAACCCTGGTTCACATAACGTAACCTTTAAACAATGTCGGCTCACGGTTCTGTCAATATTCCAGAAAGCTTTTACTTTCAATAACAGTTTGACCCATTAAACACAATTTTTTATACTTTTTTGTCGGCATATGCATTTTGAATGAAAATGTATAGAATAAACAACTCCGTAAGGTAAAAGATTATTGAATTAAAGACCAAAACACGTTTGATTTCAAATTGAAGAAACCGAATGCTGCTCACTCTGGTTAGTCTGGTCAGAAAGCTGATCATGAATGTCAAACTTTTCCCTATTTCTGTAATTTTTGAACAATTTCTTTGCAAGCTATTTTATATTTAAAGGGAGTAACCGGCTATGTAAGGTAGTTGACAACGAAAAATAAAGTAAAAATTATACAGTAATCTAATTGGTTGGCTAGGAACATATTTCTCAAAAGAAATTTGTCAATAAATCAATGCTAAAATCGATAATTTCGTTTTCATTATTATATTGAATTTCTTATCTTCTTTGAATTTATTCGCAGATTTCTTCAAATTCTTCAAATGTCGTCTTTTCAATAATAATTCTAGAAAATCTGCGAAAATCTTTGTGAATAATGAGAAAATAGAGACTAATGATTGAACAATATTACTTATTTTCGATGATAAGATTAATTTTTATTTTCTCAACATGTTCCTATACATGACGTCTGTAGTTTATTGAAGAACTTTTTTTACATTTCATGTCGTCGTTATTTAATAATTTAAAAAAACTAATTCTGAAAACGTATCCACCCCCAAAGTAGGAGTTTTGAACGTCAAAGTTGCGCTCAAACTCACGATTTACAGATTTAAAAAGTTTAATATGTCTCAAATGAATCCGATAGAAGTTTTCCACAACACTGCATACTCAGTTCAACTACCTTACATTGCCGGTCACTCCCTTTTAATGACTGTAAATATATCCAGGTTTGGCAACTGGCAGAATGTGAATATTCACAATGAATTTTTGAACAAAGAATATTCTAGATTTTCCAGGAATAAATGTGACGTCACCGTGATGAGTTCACACAGGCAGGGGCGGATACAGGGGGGGGGGCGGCAGGACCTTCGCACCCCCCTGAAATTTTCAGAATAGCTTCTCAATAACACTTAAGGGGAAAAAACCCTAGTGCAAAACATGAAAAAAAATCTATCTTAATATGTGTGATAAGTCAAGAATCTAGTTTTTAGTCTTTAGTCATTAATTTTGACTCTGTTTGAGTCTTTTAAGTCAAAAAATGTTCTCCTGCGGCGAGTCTTTTTCTTCCTTAATCTAGATTTTTTGGTTTCGATATAAATCTAGCACCCCCTAACTTAAACCCTGTATCCGTCCCTGCACACAGTACGCTACTTTACACACAAATATTACGATTTTATATACAACATTTAAGAGATATACATTCTGACTTCTTTCCTTAATAGTCAGTGGAAAGGTACTCTTGTGAATTGGGATTCATTGTGTTTTTATCTTTAATGTTACTTAAAATTGTGTTTTTCATCTTAAATGTCACTTAAAATAGTATTTTTCATCTTTAATGTCACTTAAAATAGTGTTTTTCATCTTTAATGTCACTTAAAATAGTGTTTTTCATCTTTAATGTCACTTAAAATTGTGCTTTTCATCTTAAATGTTACTTCAAATTGTGTTTTTCATCTTAAATGTCACTTACAATTGTGTTTTCCATCTTAAATATCACTTAAAATTGTGTTATGGTAAATGGTTGTTAAACTAATAAAAATAATATGATTAGAAGAAAATTTTGCCAGAAAGTTGGAACTTAAGAAAGTTTTTTTTTAACTTAATTCAATATTACTCTTCATATTACTCTGTTATTCATCAACTATTAACATGAAACCATTAGAGTCATTTAGATTTTAAAAAACATGTGAAGGATCTACATTTGATTATGAATTAATTTTGTGAACATGCTGAAGATATTTTATATAAATCACTGAAACATCGGATAGAATGTTAAACAGTCCAAATCCATACTTTTCACTTTTATTTTCGTAAACTTCCAATTTTCTCATTTTTTGTGACCCCTCCCTTTAAATCAAATTATTAAGTAAATATAAAGCTGAATATAAAGTTTTGAAAACAGTGTTTGAAACTGTATTTAAACTACAGTCTACATGTTTTAACAAAGTTAGTTTGAACAATCCATTTAACTTGTTCCTCCCTTGGCTGCAATACTGTCTTTGTGTCTTCTATCGACATCTATGCTACAACATTAGACACAATCTTAACACTAAACATACTGTCGGGTTTCTAGAGATAACCTCTAGCAATTCTAGAAATAAAGCTTTGGTGTCAAAGGAGGTCCATTTTAAAAGGCCAGATCATTTTCTAAATTTTATTTTTTTTTAATTTGAGAACTACCAAATATCTATTATTATTTTTAAAAATAATACCAAATTCTCCACCCTGCATGCTTGTTTAGGGTTTAACCTGGTATTGAAATATATAAATTTATAGAAATAGAATCATGAATAATATCAAAAGAAATGGAATTTCCTTGTTTTTAAATTGATTGAATAAAAATCCTAGCAATAAAGAAATATAACCCCAAACCATTAATGAAATGTATTAGCTTCCCGAACTTTTAATTTGAAGAAATGAAAACAACTTATTTTTACAATGTACAAAAAGTAATTAATTGTGGTTTATTATAATATCTGAATGAATATGATTGGTCTTAAATTTATTTGAATTCTTTACGATCTGAGTTGAAATATACAACCACGTGAATTTGTATGGACGCTACGCTCTCTTGGGTGTTCCTATGTTATTAAACGTATTCTCCATATAGACGTGACAGATAGAAGTAAAATTGGTAGAGATAAAGATCGAATTAAATTCGATTTAAGCCTATAAAACCTTTTATTTTTCGCGAACACTCCCTTTAATTCATCGGACTAATGAATAATAGTGCTTTATGAAACGATTATAGATTCAAAAGTTCCTAACTCAGTTTTTACAAAAACTTTGTTTGCAATTAGGGTTTGCAACGCACTTGACTTGTGACTCCTTGCATTTCCGCGCAATTCCGCACAATTTTCAAGCAATTCGAGAACAATTGCACGCAATTTTGCGCAACGGAGTTCCGATTCGAAACCCTATTTGTAAAGGAGTGTACTACAGTTTCTGAGAGGAATATAAATCATAAATATTTGGCGAATATATGACTTTACTTGCAGTTGATTCTTATCATTGATAAAGCATCGTCGCTTTTAACATCAGAGCAATATTTATGATTTTATTCGTTCACTAGGCTCACTTGAACATCCTTGAAAATTATACAAAAAATTTTTAAATGTTGAATTGAATTTTATGCAAAAAATGAAAATTATAATTTGGCGGGAAAAGTTTTAAATTCGCAAATATGATTTTTTTCATCTATTAAAATTGCGTCCTACGTACAGATCTAACTCGAATATCCTCTGAGCTGGAAACTTTTGTGGTGGATACCCAAAACCCCGATCTCTGGATTTTTTATCACTATTGAATTGTTCGCAAAATACGCTTAATCTCTTGATTTTGGATTTCAGAATCTCTGTTCTATTATTGGTTGAACGCAAAATTCCCCGACTTCTGATTCGCGAAAAAATTAGATTAATCTGTAGATTAACAACAGAGCGAGATCAAGCATTGATCTCGATATCCATAATTCAAGAGTTCTCAGCTCTCAGGAAAATTTAAAGAATTTGCGGGGTTCAAACATGAGACGCAGATTAAACATGGTTGGTTCAGCTGGAAATTTTAGTAAGTGTTTCGAGATTTTAGCCAGTGCTCAATTGGAACCGGTTCAAATTCTCTAGATCCTGCCTCAGAATACATTTATCTCTATTTGTCTGTGGGTATGTTCTCAACCTGTTTGTTTAAGTTGAGAATAGTTTATATATTCATTGATATGAATATATGCAGGTACTGCCTCTCCTGAATATATAATGGCCGGCAATATCTCTAAATAAATAGACCTGACTTTAGGTTTATAGATATTTATATGCATACAAACATGCATATAAATATTTGCAAAATGATGGAAACCTATTTTTCTGGAGAAAAATATTTTACATTATTGTTCGTGTTATTAAGCTTGGCAATTCAAAATTATATATTCAATCATTATATTTTTCATTTTCATGGAAGAATTTTTCAAGATATGATAAAAGTTTTATGAGACAATTTTAAAATTTTGTCAAGGATTTTTTCGAATCCTATTCAATCAATACTTCTTCAAATTCAATTTTGCTTTGTTTATTTTTATTAATTTTATGATATTTTTTTGATAATTGGATCATAAGAGACTAGTGAAGCTTGAGAGCTGAAGCAGGATTCAAATATTATATTCGAGACATAAATTGTGTTTTTTCTTTCCAGGGGAGGGGTTAATAAGTCAGCACCCGTTGGGGCCTGAGAACCCCCTGGAAACCATAATTTTACTAATCCAGGGGGAGTGCTGAGCCCCCCCTCATCTTTTTGTACGCTTCTGGTCCCTGTCCTGTTTTAAAAACTCGTTTTTGGAATCTGTTAATTAACATGGTTAGAAAGTAAAATTGACATTTTTAAAATTCAGAACTAAGCAAAGTCCCGTTAAATCCAGGTTTAACGTTGTTAACCTCCAATCTAAGTGAGAAATAAAAAGACGGTATAAAAGTTAAATATTCTGTAATCTTTACATAAAAAATATTGTGAAAATATTGGTTCATGAAATTAAAATTTAAATCTTCAAGGTAAATATTTTGAGCATGTAGATAAAAAGGTTCTGAAATTTATTATTATCTTCCCTGCACATTTTCTTGGATAACATGTCTTCCTTTTCTTACATAACTCACATTTTTTTGGAAAAATTCCACTGAAAAATATTCTTTATAATTTATGCTTTATAACAATAATTGTTTAATATGAAATTCAGAGTTGTTGTACAGCAAGTCCTAAAATGGCTGTTTTTCCTTCATAAATCTTAAATCTTAATTTTTTATATTTTGAATAAGATAATTTTAACATTTTAAGGGTTTAACTGATCTATATGGTTCTCATTGTGAATTCTACTTTTTTGTTTGTTTTTGGTTCAAGGGAAGATTATATATTTTACTTTACCCTTATTTGGAAATAAAACATTTATTCTTTAATGCTAAAATAAAGACTATAATAAAACTCTAATGAGATAATATTTAAACCTAATATCACTTAATTTTAAACTTATTGAACCACTTTTTTCTCTGAACTAATTTTGTTTTCTTATTTATTTTCTGACAACTCTCCAGTTAATTTGTTTAACAGTTAAAAAAATTCGAAATTGAAATGAATAGTCTAGGGAAAATACTGTATTAATGTACTCTACTGCATATAATTTGTGAACATTTACATGATTTGTACACTTTGAACTCCCTTTCAGGCTGAAAGGGACTGAAAAAAATCATACCGAGAGATTCTTGAAATTCCCCTCTAATATATATTCTATTCTCTATGTTTGAAAATAGGGAATTCCCTTTTATTAATAGAGGGTCACAAGAAAATACGTTTACAGTCCCTTTAAACACAAGATGGTATTCATTTATTTTAAATTTAATTTAGAAAATATTATAATACATTGTAGGGTATTCCATCTGTATCTGTTATTGATGAATCCCAACGACAATCCATCCTCGGAATGAGCAGTACAGAACATGTACACTCTGTGTACCCCAGTATGGATACTGTACATACCATGTACTCAGCACAGACTAACAAAGGTAAATAGAAAGAGTAACTGCCAATTGAAGGACCAGATCAAATTTTAAAAAAGTTCAAAATAAGTCCAATAGATGTCCACCTTTCACATGGGACATGTCGTATCCAATGTGTTTTTAATCAAACTTTTTTGTTTGTTTAAGAGGGGTGTGAATTATAATGTCAAATGAATTGTTAATTACCAACAGGAACTGCACTTATTTCATTAATTTACTTTTCAATCTCAAGAATATAGTTCACTTCCAATACTTTACTCTTTAACAAACTTTGTGTTTTAATAATGCAATCTCAACTTAAGTCCCAACTTTCAGTTAATACGACAATTTACTGCTGATGCAAGCTTAAGTAATGTACTCAAGAGGCAATCCTGATTCACGATGCTTTGATTCCTTAAAACCTTAATTTGATTTATAATGTGGAAGATAATGACGTTTTTGTTGCTTGACAAGTGTTTAATTCTATTTAATTCTCCATTGATTCTGACGCAAGAATGAGCAAGCCATTTTTGCAGAGAAAATGAGCAATTTTCAAAAAGCAAAAACAGGAATATCTAATTCATGCTTGACCAGACAGAGCTTTATAGGGCACCGTTGTGAATCATACATAGCTTTTAGGGTACCGTTGTAAATCAGACAGAGCTTTATAGGGTACAGTTGTGAATCAGAAAGAGCTTTATAGGGTACCTTTGTGAATCAGAAAGAGCTGTATAGGGTACCGTTGTGAGTCAGACAAAGCTTTATAGGGTACCGTTGTGAATCATACATAGCTTATAGGGTACCGTTGTGAATCAGACAGAGCTTTATAGGGTACCGTTGTGAATCAGACAGAGCTTTATAGGATACCGTTGTGAATCAGACAGAGCTTTATAGGGTACCGTTGTATATCAGACAGAGCTTTATAGGGCACCGTTGTAAATCAGACAGAGCTTTATAGGGTACCGTTGTGAATCAAAAAGAACTTTATAGGGTACCGTTGTGAATCAGACAGAGCTTTATAGGGTACCGTTGTGAATCAGACATGCACTCAATGAAGGGCCGCTTGAAAATATGTTTACCTTTAAACCAAGTGTATTTATTGTTATAAAAAAATGATCAATTATTTAATATGTAATATCAATTATCTAGATACTGTAAAATAGTTTTGATTTATTAATAGTTGGTTTCGTTCATAATTGGAGTAAAGAATGTATAATTAATTCCAATAATTGAAACTGTCAGAAAAGAGATAAAATTAAAACTGTTAAAAGAATTAGATTAAAATATCTGTTCTCTTACACAAGGATTAATGGGTTCTTTTCTTTCAACTAATTCTTAGCTGGAGGGAGGTCCATACTACAGTCTTTACTCCTTACTCTTTACTCCTTACTCCTTACTCCTTACTACAGTCTTTACTCCTTACTCTTTACTCCTTACTCCTTACTCCTTACTACAGTCTTTACTCCTTACTCCTCACTCCTTAATCCTTACTCCATACTCCTTACTCCTTACTCGATCCTTACTCCTTACTCCTTACTCCTTAGACCAACTTTGAAAACCAAATATATTTAACCTACCCTGCAAGAGGTGCTGTTAATCGTTTTTAGAAACAAATTTCAAGATTCAAAACTGTATTTTTTCAAAGTTTGCTTTATTAAAGTTTTTACATCGTTTTTGGATGGTTTTTGGGTCGTTGTTTGTATATAGCTTCTGCCAGGGTCAAAATTTGAATTAGGGTAATTATACAAAATAAATGTTTAGAATAACAATTTAAAATACGTTTAGTTTTCTTAGATTAGATTAGATTAAATTTTAACCATGAAAGAAAGTGTAAACAAGAATCTACTGTATTGGACACCACATCAAGCCAAATATTGGTTTTTGAACGTTTCATAACCTAAAAGTGTAACAGTTTATAACAAAAAACTGCCATCGGTCGCAAGGTGCAATTTAAACTGCCCTTAATATTTTAAAGTTACTATAAATAACTTATTCCGTTACGTTTGGCCAAAAATGGACTTTTACACCAACCGGCTAAATTTTTAGGCATACTGCCTTAATGCTTGGCCGCTTTTTTCTATGCCAAATAAAGCCTTTTATTAGACACACCTCTGCTGAAGCTTGGTATAATAAAATTTTAAAGCTGTTAAACATCTTATGATTTTTTTATTTAATAAATTTGCAAATACATTTGGCATAAATAATTTCATATGTTTATTGGCCGAGGGTTTTAAAACAAATTTAAATAATGGGCCAATTTTTCCAGGAAATATTTTTTTTCTGATATACAAATTATGTTAAAGATGTTCAATGTCTGTCTGTAGAGCCAAGAATAATTCCAAATTTATATTTTAGTTTCAAAATTTTTGTGCTTTCAATATTTCCCGAGATATGAAGAATTTCGTTCAAATTTCGATAATTTTGGTTTATTTAATAAAATTGAAATCTGAACGAAATTCTCTATATCTGAGGTTATATTGACAGCACAAAAAAGGCAGACCACATTTGGGAAATGCCAGGACTAGGAGAATTTCGTTGTTTTTGTTTCAAGAATCATACATGTTAGATTAGGTTGAGGACTGAAAGTCACAAATAAATTCCCAGATCAAAGACGACTCGCAAGTCTTCTTGCTACTCACATGTTTCGTGGGACACCATTTACTTTTAGGTTCGGATTGCAATGATTACCCGTTGCAAGACTTAAGAAATCCCCAGATTATCCGGATACCAAGACAAGATGCAGTTGCATGTTCACTACATGGTAATTTATAAATTCCTGTACATAATTTTTTTTGTAAAATCGGCATTAAACTCCATTATGTTGCATTTAGTACTATAATTCTAACCTACTAACCAGGGGCGTATTCAGGGGGGGGGCTATGGGGGCTAAGCCCCCCCTGGACCAGGGAAATCTATTGATTTCAGGGGGGTTTCAGGCCCCAACGGGTGCTGAGCCCCCCCCCCTGGAAAGATAAAAAAAATTTAAGCCCTCCCTGAACAAATTCCTGAATATGCCCCTGTTACTAACATCTCATAAATAATGAATTATGAGTAACAACAAGGCACCAACAACCAAGCTAAATTCCACCATCGTACGGAAAAAATGTCAAGTAAAAACGGATACTCACTTTTAAAATGGTCACTTTTCGTTCAAAGGAAAAGACGTTTTTTCACAAACTGAAACTTTACAATCCCAATATCTTTGCAGCCTAATGGTGTTAAGAACAAATGTTTTTTAAATTTTTATTCTAAACATTTGCTTCATACACTATGCCAAATTTAGACCATGACAGAAAAAAATTGCAAACAAACGATCAAAACAATATCTTAAACAATTAAAAACACTACATGCAGCTAAAGAGTTCATTCAGACTGTTCTTACATTTAATGTTTCCTCAACAGATGGAAACCTCATTCTCACTATTGTTTCAGTAGAAGTACATATTTCCATTTATACTGTTATAGCGCTGATATAAGGATTTATCTCTAATTAGATAATTAGATAGATAGAAAGATAGATGTTACCGCCATGCAATTTCTATTGGTTCAGAATAGACATCAAACACATGGCTGAACCCTGATTGGATCAGGATTCTTTTAAAAGACTTTTAGAAAGGCAAAACTCCAAATTATGGTGGCTAAATTTCAAGTCAAGTTTCAAGTCGTCAGCTACAGTCTCATCTTTGATGTTAAGTACTTTCCCAAAGGCATTTTCCCAAACAGCAACTTCCCAAGTCTGTCTTAGTCACAGTGCTTGTCCCCATAACCTGTTCTAGCCTCAGCGCTTGGCCCCCTATCCCATCCTAGCTGCAGTGCTCGGTAACATATTATGGTGCTTCAGAAGGTTACTGCTTGGGAAATTGCATATTTGTGAAGTTGCCACTTGGGTAATTGTCACTTGAGAATACATTGGGAAAATGCCTTATACCAAACCATCGTTGGTAACCCTGTGTATATAAACTATCGTATATTAGCCTGATAACTTTAATTCTAACTTTGTATTGACCAAATATATTTGTTCTAGAGTCAAATTCACATTCAAACAGATATGAGGAAACTTCAAGGTAATATATTCACAACAAACAGTTTCTAGATTTCATCTTTAGATATTTTAATTCTGTAGAATTTCTTATCAAGTTTTCAATGAAAATCAAATAATTTCCTAAATTTTATTTTTGAAAAGTATTTCTAATCTTCCAGTCAAAAACTATTTTAAAACAATTTAAAGAAAAAATTGTTATTATTATGACCTTATTTATATTTATCAATTATTTAGTGAACTCAGTGTAGGGGGTCTTAATCGAACGGACTTTAAAGGTGATTTTCTTCCATAAATTCAATTAGGTCATTTTGTAGTTTTAAAGTTTTTAAAACATTTTTTAGACTTTAAAATGGTTCCACAAAATTCTAAAAAAAGTTCCAAAATTTCAAAAGTGTTTAATCTAAACATTTACTTTAAGAGCAGATAAAAAAAATTTACAAAAACGAATGTTTTTTTGTTTTTTTTTTCTTAAGATTTTCTCTGGGATAACAATTTTGTGTAGTTTGATAAAAGTTTTAGTTTAAAAATGTTGGAACCTTATTTTTCAGGGAAAGTATTTTGTTGGGACTTCTAAAGGTGCAAAATCATTCAAAGTCTTAGAAAAACGAACCAATTATTGCACTGCGTCCTCAAGCAAGCTGTCTTGATGCCTAGTTTAACCAACTAGCCCTAATTTTGGTCCTTGGATTTCGACGTTTTACAGCTAGGCTGGACTGGGCACAATCAAACATTTTACTAAGGTGTTCATTAAGGATTAGTGAAAAAAGCTAACCGTTCGTTTTTAAACTTTTAGGTACAGGGTGTCCCATTAAACATGGGAATTAAGAGACGACTTCAAAATCGTTTTAGTAAAGAATAAGCGTTTTATCACCTAATTTCAATGGTCAAAATATGTGATTACTGTTAGAGTATATTTTATGTAAACAGTAAAAGACTGCTTTGTTATTCTGCAAAATGTTTAATGATGTTTTTTAACATTTCTACAAAATAAACAGTGAAGAGAAACAACTGTACTGTGTTTGTATACACGAATTAAGAACAACACAGTATGCAATAAACACATAAACAACCAAATTCTTAAATCTAGCAGACGGATTATACAGGGTGTACAATAAACATGGGAATATTCAGGGACGAATTTGATATCGTCCTTTAAAATAATTCTTTGATTTAGTATAGTGATACCTGGTGAGAAAGCTGTAATCTGTAAGAGTTTCGTCTGCTATGTTCACATTTTGTTTATGTTTTGACTGCATACGGTTGTACTTAGTAAAACAAGGAATTTATAGTAAAGCAAGGCAGTATGCAAACAGGGTAAACTTGTCCGTTTTCACTGTTCATCTTGTGGAGACATTATAAACACATCTTTACAGTCTTTTACAGTTTTCATAAAATAAACTCTTAGGTATTACAATGCTAATTCATAACAAAGACATATCGAATTCGTTACTAAATTCCCATGTTTTTTGGGACACCCTGTAGTTTTCCTAGTAGTATGCATCATCATACTAAATAAAAAGTTATTTACTAAACAGTATCAAAATTCTCATGTGTATCGGAACACTGTTCGTTCTTAGCTAAACAATTCATTGGTTAACAGTATTTACCGTTCGTTAACGGTCTCAAATTTTCCTTACGGCGTTGACAGAAGATTTTTCAGAAATTGGTAACTTCACCTTGCAGCAGTTAGCAATTATTTCATGCATAAAACATGCAAAAAAATGTTTTATTTTCCACTCTTTTTTATGAACGGGTATTTTCGTAAGTAAACGATTTTAAAACTTACTATATTTGCCATTTGTCATTGGAATTTGTTGTTAATGTTAAAAAAATTGACTTTCGATAACAGAACGTTGCCTGTGCCCTAATTACAGTTTGTTGGAACGCCTATTTAACAATTTGTGCGAAGAAATATTTTTGATAGATTGTTAATTCTATTTATTTTATATTATTTTGTTTCAGTTAGCAGTGGCTGCTGATTAGGAAGACATACAAAACACCATCTTTAGCTTCTTTAATATAATTATTTGATATACAGGGTTACCCACAAAGGATGAGACTTTACAGAATGTATTCTGTCTGCTTCCCAACTACTGTAAACGTCTTTCTCTTTGCAAAATCATTGAGTAAGCCATTGAAAGATTATATTGAAGGCAGAAGACATAATTTAACCCGAAAATTGTCAGATTTAGAGAGTTTCAGGTCGTCTTTACGGTCTCATCCTTTGTGTGTAACCCTGTGTAATAAAATAACAGTTAACAAGTTGTTAAACGTGATTTTGAAAATATCTCTTTTATTGAAGAACGACATAATATTTGGTTTGATATGTCTGGTAATTTATTTAAAAACAGATCAATCCCCCCCCCATCCATGGTAACATTCAACTGTTTAACCTCAGCAGGGGGGGGGCGGGGTATATTTTAATACAAAAATATAGTTATTTATTATTTATTTTATTTATTTTCCATGTCAAGAAAAACATTAGAAATTGAATTTTTTTAACAGTACAATTATTTGTCATTTCTGAATAACTTCTTAACTTATATATTTTTGTTACTTTTTCAATTTGTTTCAACCCTCAAACAAATGTCAAAAAATAATGTTATTCAATTGTTATGCATATTTTGTATCGTGTTCATACAGCGTGTCCCACGAAACATGACAGTAGCAAGACAACTTAAAGGTCGTCTTTGATATGTTAGATCAAAATTGTTATAAGAAAAAAACATGTAAATACTGAAAAAAGGTTGGCTGAATGTCTTAAAAAAAAGAAATACAAGACGACTTTGAAATTGTCTTGCACTACTGTCATGTTTCCTGGAAAACCCTGTATTATCTCATTTTTAGTTTAATCATTGACTTGTAAATAGCATCTTAACATGAAACAGGAAATAAATCTATCAGGACTCAAAAAAATTTTTTTTCAAATGTCAAATTTAAGAAAAATTTGTCTTATTTGTGAAAGTTAATTGGAACTCTCCTAAAAGACCACGTAATTTCATGTAGTGTATAGTGTATAGTGTATACAGGGTGCACCAGTTCAAAATGGTATTTAAGTATAAGATAACGGTTTAAAGGGTACCCTTGTGAATCGGGCATGCCCTGTTTGGTGGGGGATTTTCAAATACAAGAACAGTTCCTTTAAACGAAGAAAATGTTGAAAGTCCCTTTAAGGAAAATTGACGAAATTTTTGATAGATTATTTGTTTTCTATAAATAAATTGTTTTTACCACGGTTCAGCCGTTTTGACGTTTATTGGATACAAACAGACAGACAGACAGACAGACAGACAAACAGACAGACAAGCCAAATTTATATATAGATTAAGAACAACACAGTATGCAATAAAAATATAAACAACCAAATTCTTAAATCTAGCAGACGATTATAGTTTTCCTAGTAGTAGGCATAATCATACTAAATAAAAAAATTGTTTACTAAACGGTATAAAAATCGTCACTAAAATCCCGTGTTTATCGCTCTTCGTTCTTAGCTAAACAATCCATTGTTTAACAGTATTTACCGTTCGTTAACGGTCTCAAATTTTCCTTACGGCGTTGACAGAAGATTTTTCAGAAATTGGTAACTTCACCTTGCAGCAGTTAAGTGGCTGCTGATTAGGAAGACATACAAAACACCATCTTTAGCTTCTTTAATATAATTATTTGATATACAGGGTTACCCACAAAGGATGAGACTTCATTCATCAGCCAAATCATTGAATAAGCCATTGAAAGATTATATTGAAGGCAGAAGACTTAATTTAACCCCTAAATTGTCAGATTTAGAGAGTTTCAGGTCGTCTTTACAGTCTCATCCTTTGTGTGTAACCCTGTGTAATAAAATAACAGTTAACAAGTTGTTAAACGTGATTTTGAAAATATCTCTTTTATTGAAGAACGACATAATATTTGGTTTGATATGTCTGGTAATTTATTTAAAAACAGATCAATCCCCCCCCCATCCATGGTAACATTCAACTGTTTAACCTCAGCAGGGGGGGGGCGGGGTATATTTTTTAATACAAAAATTTAGTTATTTATTATTTTCCATGTCAAGAAAAACAATAGAAATTGAATTTTTTTTAACAGTACAATTATTTGTCATTTCTGAATAACTTCTCAACTTATATATTTTTGTTACTTTTTCCATTTGTTTCAACCCTCAAACAAATGTCAAAAAATAATGTTCAATTGTTATATATATTTTATATCGTCTTCATACAGGGTGTCCCACGAAACATGACAGTTGCAAGACGACCTGAAGGTCTTCTTTGATATGTTAGATTAATACTGTTATAAGAAAAATACATGTGAAAACTAAAAAAAAGGTTGGCTACTGAATGTCTTTAAAAAAGATACAAGACGACTTTCAAATTGTCTAGCGCTACTGTCATGTTTCCTGGAACACACTGTATTATCTCATTTTTAGTATAATCATTGACTTGAAAATAGCATCTTAACATGAAACAGGAAATAAATCTATCAGGACTGAAAATTTTTTTTTTTCAAATGTCAAATTTAAGAAAAATTTGTCTTAATTGTGAAAGTTAATTGGAACTCTCCAAAAAGACCACGTAATTTCATGCAGTGTATAGTGTATAGTGTATACATAGTGCACCAATTTAAAATGGTATTTAAGTTTAAGATAACGGTTTATGGTACCCTTGTAAATCGGGCATGCCCTGTTTGGTGGGGGATTTTCAAATACAAGAACAGTTCCTTTAAACGAAATATTTGATAGATTATTATAGATTATTTGTTTTCTATAAATAAATTGTTTTTACCTCTCTCCGCTGGCAACATGAGTTGACAAAACTTTTAAAACATTTTTTTGCAAAATCTTGATTTTTTAGAATAGTTTCTGCAAAACATTGTTTTTTTTATTTTTGAGAATGATTTCACGCATTTGTGAGTTGATAAAAAAACTAGGTTAAAAATATACTAAATATGTTTATTAACGTTATTTTATTTAATTATTTACTTAAAGTTAATTTTATCAAACGTAGCTAAATGTTTGGCAATAGTATATGCAAGGTTCCAAGCAAACGACCAATTATGTCAAAATATGTAGTTTCAATTCATGTTGCAGATGGTAACTATCTAATTCATGTTGCAGATGGTAACTATCTAATTCATGTTGCAGATGGTAACTATCTAATTCATGTTGCAGATGGTAACTATCTAATTCATGTTGCAGATGGTAACTATCTAATTCATGTTGCAGATGGTAACTATCTAATTCATGTTGCAGATGGTAACTATCTAATTCATGTTGCAGATGGTAACTATCTAATTCATGTTGCAGATGGTAACTATCTAATTCATGTTGCAGATGGTAACTATACTAATTCAAGATACATCAGTTCTGTATTAGACCTTTTTAGTTTCTAGCATGCACACGTTAAACTAAAGTAAACATGTTTCATATTTCATATATGAAAATCTGGATCAATTTGCTTTTCTTATGCTTGTGCATAAAATCAAAGCTAGAGGAGCTACACGTTAAACTAAAGTAAACATGTTTCATATTTCATATATGAAAATCTGGATCAATTTGCTTTTCTCATGCATAAAATCAAAGCTAGAGGAGCTATATGGTTACAATGTCGTACCATTAGTATCGAATAAATTTCACCTTCACCTTTTGTCTATTTATCAGTGAAGAGTGGAAGACAAAAGTTTGGCAAAATTACAAACTAAGTACGTTTGATAAATGATGAAAATATAATTTTTTCTGACAATTATTTGAGTGTGAGTTGCGAAACACTTTTGCACATACAAAGTAAGAGAGTTATTGTTGGACGTGAGGGGAAGACAGATTTGGGGAGCTTGGCAGAAGTAACATGAGGCTTGAAGACGATTTTGATTGGCNGTTTCAGCCCCTTCTCTCTGTTAGGTTAAAACAGTTAAGCCACCCCCCCCCTTCCTCGACCTCCGAAAAAAATCCTGTATTTGCCCCCTGACCCCTTTAAACCTGTTTTAATTCCGTTATAGAAAAATCTGTCACAGAAGCTTGAAATGTGAAAACATTTCTTCGTGAAAAGAAAATGGAAAATCATTTCTCAAGCTTTTGGTTTGATCGATTTTTAAAAAATTTCCTGGCTATATGTTTTGTTTAAAATTTATTATTTTTTATGTATAGACATACATTTTATCATTAATAATAAATTACTAAATTTTGTCTTGTTTGTTCCCAATAAGCGTCGACAACACGTTCGGGTCCAATTTTTTGTGGTATTTCACATGACCTTTGGCCGGTCGAAGTTTAAAAATTTTGCCCTGAAATAAATGGAAATTCAATGATATCCTAAATTTGTTAATTTATGTACGATGTCCAAAAAGGAGATTTTTCAGAAAATTTTAAATCTAAGATCATAACTATAAAATGGGAACTGAATTGCGCCTTAAAAGCTAAAAGTCTGATAAAGATTTAAAACCTTCAGTTCTGTTTCCATCAAATAATAGACAACATAAAAAGGAGATAATCTGAATCCTCCACTCTATTTGTCTTCGCAACCAGATGTCGCAGATCTGTGATATGTCAAACTGTAAACAGCTCTGTTAAGTTTGAATTATCCAAGGTATACACCATCAGGTTGCAAAGATAAACGGAAAATTCGAGTTTGTAACAAGAACTGAAATCCTTTACATGTGTTCAAAATCTTGAACTCGAACGTTTTTGAAATGGCGGAACACAGTTCAATTTTCAAATTAAAAATTTTATAAATAGTTGACAAGCAACTAAATTATTTCTCTGCAACTCATTTGAAAACAAAGTTCCCAGAACTTTTTTCAAAAGTAACTTTTCCCTAATTCTATCGTAAAATTTAAAAGATGGATAACATTTTATATATGAAACCATACTATAAAGATATAGAATTGGTTACGGAGCATCAGAAATTACTTGTATTATCTACTAAGAATAAGATGTGTGTAGGATTTGGCCAATAAATGATCTGAGTGAATTCTGATGAAAGTTCACATTGCACTGGAGAGGAAATAGATTTAGAGTAATCAGTTATCTAGTAGAGAGTAGAGAGTAGAGAGTAGAGAGTAGAGAGTAGAGAGTAGAGAGTAGAGAGTAGAGAGTAATAAAGAGTAAAGAGTAGAGAGTAGAGAGTAGAGATTAGAGAGTAGAGAGTAAAGAGTAGAGAGTAGAGAGTAGAGAGTAGAGAGTAGAGAGCAAATAGTGTTCCGGTATTCCAGTGTTTATGTTTTTTTTGTCTAAAAATAGTTTCCGGGCCCATGCAGTAGAGAGATAAATAGATTAGCAGTATTTTACACTATATGCTGACAGTAACTAGTTGTCAAATAGATCATTTATCTCTGTATATCTATTTATATACTTCGCTTGCCTTTTTTTTCTGTTTGTTTGTTTATATCCAATAAAAGTCAGGACGGCTGAACCAATCGGGTTCAATTTTTTCGTGGCAACTCATATGAGCTAGAGAAGAAAAATAAGTAATTATAAAATTGATTTTTATGTTTATCGATTATTTAGTTTTCTTTATTATATTGAATTTCTTATTTTCTTTGAATTTTTTCGCAGATTTCTTCAAATTCTTCAAATGTCGTCTTTTCAATAATAATTCTAGAAAATCTGCAGAAAATCTTTGTGAATAATGAGAAATTATAAACTAATAATTGAACAATATTACTTATTTTCGATGATAAGATCATTTTTATTTTCTCAACATGTTCCTATACATGACGTTTGTAGTTTTATATTGTCGTTATTTAATAATTTAAAAAAACTAATTCTGAAAACGTATCCACCCCCCAAATAGGAGTTTTATACGTCGAATTTGCGCTCAAACTCAGGATTTACAGATCTAAAAAGTTTAATATGTCTCAAATGAATCCGATAGAAGTTTTCCACAACTGCATACACAGTTCAACTACCTTACACATCCGGTCACTCCCTTTAAGGCCTAAAATCTTTGCGATTAAGCATGATAAAAACACTCATATTAGATAGCCTTGGACATATTTTTATCTCATGTTAAGAGAATTGTTTTGCACTTTCAACATTTAAATTTTTTAAATTTTTTAATTTTCTGCAAATTTCAAATAAAAACTAATAAAATGTCATTCATGTTACTTTTCAGTTGAATCTTATTACGTCGAAAGTTTAGATTCAAGTTTTTAACAAAAAACGAACATGAATAAGTAAAAAACTCAGTCAAAAATCATATTTGAGTATAGTTAATTTTTTATAAAAAATTGTGAAAAACTGACGAAAAGATCATGAAAGGCTCGGAACATTAACACTGTTCATCTTTTGTGTAATGTAAATCATTCATTATATACTGGTGACATGTCAACCACCCCCCTCCCCTCCCCTATCTATTGTACAAACATTGGCAGATAAACAAAAAGCAAATAAATATGCCTGCTATACATGTATTCATATACAATATATATATTGTAACTAGATTCTACGAGGGTGGGATAGCAATTTCATCAATATAGGATTCTTAAAGTGGGATAGCAAGTTCATCAATATAGGATTCTGCAAGGGGTGGGATAGCAATTTCATCAATATAGGATTCTGCGAGGGGTGGGATAGCAAATTCATCAATTAATGATTCTGCAAGGAGTGGGATAGCAAATTCATCAATTAAACATTCTTCAAGGAGTGGGATAGCAATTTCATCAATATAGGATTCTGCAAGGAGTGGGATAGCAAATTCATCAATATAGGATTCTGCAAGGGGTGGGATAGCAATTTCATCAATATAGGATTCTGCAAGGGGTGGGATAGCAATTTCATCAATATAGGATTCTGCGAGGCGTGGGATAGCAAATTCATCAATATAGGATGCTGAGAGAAGTTTGTTGTAAAACTTTATTATTTAACTCATGTAAACAATTATATACGGAGATAATAAATATCTAGATCTTAAAAAAAATTCTGTAAATTTGAACTCCATAAATTCTAAAAATAGGGAAAATACCACTTTTTCACTTTTACTTTGACCTCCAATAGTAAAGACCTCCGAAGGTCGAAAACAAGAATCGCTAAATCTTATGGTTTTTTACTGTAATAATTCCATTTAATATGATTCTCTAAAGGTTATTGATTTACATATACGAGTCTGGGTGAAAAAAGTGGTATTTTATGGCGGTCAAATTGGAGGCCAATAACCTTCGATTTCCAATATTTTTCATGTTCTGTTTAAAGGCCAAAATAATGAGATTTAAATTTTTTGATGTATGTATAAAATTTGTGTTTTAGAGCTTTTTCAGTATCACAAAATCACATTTTCAGTATCACAAAATCACATTTTTTATGCATTGTAAATTGACAATATAAAATGTTAAATTAACCAAAAGAACCCAAAAATGTAAAGTTATTTTATTACTGTTAATGACATGCGTAACTAGAATTGTAAATTTTTTTTTGTAAAGTGGTGTTATTCCTTATCCTTGGAATGTAAATGTTGGCAAGTTAATTCTTCAGAAAATGTTCATAATATCCACACAAAAAAAGAGTGTTTTTAACAAAACTTGACGTTATTTTGACAATAAGTTTTATTAATTCTGGCCTTAAGGTAATAGTCTCATTTCGTAAATCGTTGGTTTCGGTGAGTTGTTTTTATCTTTAAATAAGTCAGCATCCCTTTAAATCTATTTAAAAATATAAACAAATTTTTCAACGAAAGAAATATTTTTAAATTAATTTCCTGTAAATTTAATTTAAAATTCATTTATAATATTTATTTCAAGTTAAATTCACTAGCTGGGGGAAAATTTTCAACATTTATCGAAATCTTCAAATCTAGGAAAAGAATATTTTAAAAAAAATCCTTTTTATCAGAGCTGAAAACTTTAGAATGGGATATCCTTAATCCTGATCGGATAATTAATCTGGAGATTAAAAATGAGAGGAGAACAAGCAATATTTAATCTCGAAATTAAGAAAAAGAGTGGATTAAGCCTTAATCCCGATATCCACCATTCTAAAGTTTTCAGCTCAGCTTGTATAGACTCAGTTTCATTTACATAATACTTTTGCCATAATTACACTTGCCAAAATACCTTTACCATAAATCACACTTGCCATAAGTTACATTTGCCATAATGGTTACACTTGCCATAATTACATTTGCTTGTGTTCCGCTACAACTGAAGGAACTGATATGAGAATGAGCTTAAACCCGCCTCCTGCTAAATCCAACCCTAAAACGGGAGCATCCTGTACTCAACCTAAGCTGATGCTGAACCTAAGACAGGAGCAGCCGGTGCTAATTCTAAGACATAATTTTCATAATTTTCTAATTTCTAAAAAGATGAAAATCTGTTTATTGCAAATACGGGAAATTTTCCCATGAAAATTCCCAACTTCAGTTTTCTCATTGTTTTGAAACAGAACAGTTGACACAAGTTCAGCTCCATATTTTCTCACAATGGAGGACCCTTTGGTAACCTTTGAGACCACAAGTAAGGGTAAACCAATGGTTCGAGACAGCAACAACTACACCTATGTAGCCAATGCCTCGTCTACAGAAGTGAAATATTGGAAATGTTCGGT